CCGTATACCAGAAGCTGTATAGCGAGCGATCATCATCGAAGGTATCAGAGCTGCGGACCCACAAGCCCGTGCAATTTTCACCTCTCGAGAATATCTATGAGTTCCGTACGCTTCTCTCCTCCCGCCGACTATTTTACCAATTTCCCGGCGGCCATATCGAGTCCCCGCGAGTTCTGAAGTCAATCAAAACTTCTAACGCGATCTCGTTTAATAAATCAATAAAATCGGCCCCGGCCTGGCCGTGTCTCTAACGGCGCGCGCTCGTGCTACCAGAAATTTATGCCGCAAGATAAACGTGCCGCGATCCAACTTTCTCTGCACCTGATTGTTTTTTTCTTCTGGCAATGCACCCGTTTCGTTTTGACACACGGGCGCCGTGTTGCTTCTTTTGAAATTGTTCGGATTACGATGACCAGGATCGTCGTGGGTGGTGGCGGAATCTCTTTTAATTCGGGCACGCGCTATAATCGAAATGACGGGAAGTCTAAACAGATTCAATCTTGATATTTTTATATGTTAGATATTTATATTAATTGCTATTATATAGGGCTCAGTCGGTCTAGTGCCGAAGCTTCTTGAATCCATTTTTATTGTGATCCGTCGAACGAGGAGAATGTTGCTATGATTCATTTCCAACTTTCTATTTTGGCTCTTTCGAAAAGTTGTTTCGTTCTTTCACAATTGTCTTTCAGAAGATGAAAGACAATTTTTTAACGTTTAGAGTGAAAAGAAGATTTTTTAACATTTTTCTGGTAGCTTTGAAATCTTATGCTGCAGTCTTGTTTTTTTATTGGAAGAATACTGAATCAAATTTTCTAACACGCTTACAAAACGACATTTTGTTGGAAAAACGAAACAACCTTTTTTCCTCGTAACAAGTCAGCCCAGCATTTTGTGCCTTCGATTAAAAACGAAAACTAAAACGGGCATTTTTTCACAATAGAATTACGCGTCCTATGAACCTAAATCCCATCCGAAAAACTGCAAAAAGAATGACAATGCGCGGCTCTGAGAACAAAGGAGTGATTTTTATTAAAATTAACATTTTACGCGATTACGTGTTATCATTGTCTTCGCGTTTTGTTAACCGCCGAACGCGTTAACAATTGTGCCTCTGGCTAAAAAACGACCGAAGTCTGATCGTGTCATGGTGAAAAAGAAGCGTGTCGATTGCTTCGAATCGAGTTTGCGGTCGAAAAGCGTGGAGACAGAGGTTCATTCATCTGTTTTGGAGTCTCATTGAATTCTCGGCGAGCCAGTCGAGCCTAAATCGTGCAGGAGCAGGCTCGGTGGAGCGGGATAGGCTAGCCACGGGGAAGAGGAGTCGGCTAAGCGACCTTAGGCTCGGCTGGCAGACGGTTTCTCGTATCCACGAGCATCGACGAGGACGCAGGACAGCGTGTTTAGGGTCGTCGACCCTAGGCACATCCGCGTTCGGCGCTTCACGTGCTTTCCCGCTTTATCTTCCAGCTTGTCTCTCTCTCTCGCTCCTCTCTCTCTCTCCCTCTGTCTATTTATCTTTCTCTTTGTCTCTCTCTCTCTCTCTCTCTCTCTCTCTCTCTCTCTTCGTTTCCCCTCTGTGGAGGCTCTCGCGTACTTTGTCCGCCGTTCGAGTAGCATCTCCGCGGCTTTAGGCTCGCGCGCTTCGCTGATCGAGGGTGAAAGGACCCTCGTCTTCGCTTCTCCTTTTTTCGCCCCTCTTCATTCCCATCCCCCTCTTGCGCCTTCTTCCCAGAAGAGAGAGACCCCAGAGAACAGCACGCGCGATTACGCTGGTCACCAACTCGAACACCAACGTCGCGTCGCGTCGATTGAGAGATTCGCGCGGCCGGACAGGATGTCGATATTTCGGCGGCTCCTAAGCGATGATAAATCCAGTGATGGACCCGTGAATGGGACGCTATTTTCGACGCGATGAATTATTCAGCGTGACTCGACCGCTTTCCGGTATTATTTTCGCATTGCTCCGGGATAATTACCGGATCCGATCGTGGAGTCGCACATTTTCTAATTTTAGCACCGCTTTTGTTCATTCACTGGGAATTCCACTGACTAATACTGCGCTCTAGATACTGTTAAATCGCTTAGCGAGTTAGTCAGTTATTATTATTATTGAACTACTCAGTTATTATTATTATTAAACTACTTAGTTATTATTACTATTAAACTACTTAGTAGTTTTTATGATTAATCTACTCAGTTATTATTATTATCAAACTATTTAGTTAATATTATTATTAAACTATTTGGTTATTATTATATATTATTATTAAACTACTTAGTTATTATTATCTATTTACGGGAAAAAGAATCTCTTTGGAAAATATTCGAAAAGATCACAAATTAAGGGTAGGAGTCAAGAAATCCAAATTTAAACTATTATCGCCATATAATGTGTGACGATTCCCTCGTTTTAAAATACTTTGGTGCCCAATGGATGATCGAGTAGTTGTACCATAACTGTTGGTACGCGAACCGCAGAGGAAAAATGTATTTTAGTCTATTGTACAGCGAGTTTCATGTTTGTTTTCCGTGGAGAAAAAGTCGCGAGGAAAGTTTGCCATGGCGTCTGAACTCCGGGAAAAACCTTTCGATCCCGACGATTTTCAAGAAGTTGAAAGACTTCTGTTTCCGGTAACCGGTCGCGCGACGGGATAACAATGAAGGGAAGAAGAATCCGTCTATTTCGGCGTAGACAGACAATCTTAACTAGGGCGGAAAAAGGACCCGTCTGCTTCTAGACCGACAGCCTTAAATAGGGCGTAGATCTCTCGAAGGGATGCTGGGCGAATTCTTTCGGTTAAATGGGGCGAACGGTGTGCATCCGCGAAGGGTAGAACTATGAGGTGTTCAGACACCGGGAAAACGGGGGTGCAAGGAGTAATAGGGAGCGATGGAACTTCGGCTGATCCAGAAGAATTAGGCTGTCTCCTGCTGTTGCCCCTTGGCTGGGTCGTTGGACAACAAGTCATTTAGACATCGCGATGTTTCTTCTATCCACCCCTGTCTTCTAATCAGTTTTTCCCGTTGCCTTGCTATAAAAGCTTCGCAGAGTGATATATCCTCAATGGTCTCCAATTATTTCAGTTCTTTTGCTTCGCTTAAATTGCACCCTTGTTCTCATAAATACGGAATCTACTGAAATATTTATTTTCTTCCTCGATCGTTTCTGTAAGGCGCAAATATTGTAACAGTATTTTAAAATTCTTTAGGTATTTCCATTATTTTTTCATTTTCGTTATAAATGCATAAAATGCTATCCGATGCACACCTTTCATTAGATTGCATATATTCATATGCGAATTCCTTAAATTTTGATAATACTAGATAATATTGATAATAACAGATTTAATTTCCTTATAAAATATCTTTATAAAATACGTGAAATTCTAACTTTTACTATAAATGTATACATGAAACTAATGTATGCTATAGATATATTTTATATTTTTTTAAATAATTATATGAAATCTTATTTTCCATAAATGAAATCGTACATAAAATTATATACAAATTTAATTTAATTATAAATATTATGTTTTTCTACAATTTCGTATGAATCTATATAAAAATTTTATTGAACGAAAGTTAGCCTTCAGCTCCTCTTAGAAAATTCACAACAACAGAATAATATAATAATATAATACAATGTCCGCACGTGTCTGCAAAAAATAAACGATTCTCCAAGGGGGGTGAAAGTCCAATCTCCCAATTAGAAAATTCGTGCAACGTCTCTGTCGCTCCTCGAAGGACGACGCCAGGAAAGGGGCGAGCATCGAAGACGTCTGAAAAAAACGGTCTGCACGATGAGTAAATCCGCGATTGATCCATCTTCGATTGCCGATCTCGCGGAAGGGGCGAAAGCGAAAGCGTCAGCTGGGAATGCGAGGAACAGGAACGAGGCTCGGTGACAAAGAAACCGGCGGAGAAGGCGAGGCGTGCGTGAAACAGCAGTTTCAGAGATCAATGAACGATTGTTCCTACCTCGCCTCGCATCGTTCGTGTTCTACAGGTTGCAGTGACACGCGTTCCCTCCCTGTGCACGTTCTTCTTCTTGTTGATTCTAATCGAGATCGTTCTTCTTATCCACCGGCGGATTCGCCCCCTCTTCCCTTCCCGGCGTTTTTATCCGCGATTTTATAGTCGGATAAGCTATCTTTATTTCTTGAACCAGTTCTCGAAAGCTGGCGAAAGTAGAAAGCTAAAATTTACCACAGAAAATATCGGCTCAACCGTTTTGTATTTTAAAAAATCCTGGTTTGCGTTCGGTTCGATCGATATATTGCAATAACAATGAATTTAGGAAGCTGGTTAAAAATCAGTGTCACCCTAATTATCACATTTTCTTTTACCACAATATTGCAAGAATATCTTGCTCAGCTGTTTCTCTTTCGTAATTAAGGAGTTGCATCGTGATTTTCAACGTTTACTTGGCACGTCCGAGAAAACTCGATCTCTTTCAATTTGTTGTTAACTTTTTATATCCAAAGCTTGGTATTTTCTGGTTTCGTAAACTCTTTTATGCTCGTATAAAAATTTTGAACTACATTTGAAGTCGCATATTCTGTGAATCCGATCTTTTCAGAGCGATGAATTGATGGAGATAACGCGAATAGACAGATTATTGATTTATCCATTTTTCTTTGACATTTTGGTACCGCTAATGATCTTTTGACGGAGCTTCCATCGAGCATTCGAATTACTTTTCCATTCCAGTATCAAACAAGTGCACAGAACTACAGAAACGATTTACAGCACCAAAAGCGGGAAATATACGAAATTTCGGCCGAGATGCGTACAAAAATTGTGGAACGGTGCTTCGAGCAGAGAAAGCCGTGAAACTGTGGAAAAGCGGGCGCAGTGATTTATAACATAGTTTACGCTCGGATAAAGAATTTGAAAAACGGTCGGGCGAGTTGAAAACAAAAAGCGACGGTGCTATGATAAAGTGCGAAAGTGATTTAAAAAATGCCTGAACAGAAATTTTCTTTTTGTTGCAGAGATTTGGTGGAAGGGGACCTGAGGTTGTCCGAGGACAGCGAGGATGAAACGAGCAAGGTAATCGAGTCACTAAATTAATTAACTGGGTTCAAACTTCAGCGTATGGGCGTTTGCCACTCTGACGGCTTGGTATATCGAGCGTTCCATAGTGCAAAGTATCATATACGTTAATATCGTGAACTCCCCTCACTCTCTCTCTGTCTTTCTCTCTTTCCATCTCTCTGTTTGTTTCTCTCTCTCTCTCTCTTTCTCTCTCTTTATTCATCTCTCGTAAATTAATCCGTAACTTTGTATAATTATCGTGTGCTGTTTCGTCTGCCGAAAAAGGTATGAGGTGTTGGGGGCGGACAATTGCGAACTGCGATGATGTATGAGGGTAATTGATAATCGTTATGGTGTTTTTTTTTTCGCAGAGTACGGTGTCACGGACAAGGGGTGTCAGAAGTCCTGATCTCACAGTCGAGTAAGTAGAATTATTGTTAACGTGCAACGCGAAATTCCACCATGAAAATTCTTCGAATTCGCGAAACCAATGGTTTTCCAGTCGCACTGTTCATTCTGCATAAATTCTGTCTTAATGAAAATCACATATTTTGATGCGGCCTAAATTCTGCCTGACAGAATGTTCATTTATTTAGTCCATGGGTCTTTGTGGAAATCACATGTTCTTGTTTGGCCTGAATTGTATCTTAAGAGAAAGTTACATATTTTTGTTTAGTTCGCATTCTGTTTTTAAAGAAAGTTACATATTTTTATCCGGCGCACAAGCTGTTTTAAAGAAAGTTGCATATTTTTATTTAGTCCGCATTCTGACTTAAAGAAAGTCGCGTATTTTTATCTGGTCCGCGATCTGTCTTAAAGAAAGTTACATAGCTGTATTTAGTCAATAATCGTTTCCAATGTTTCGCAATTTATTTGCACGAGGCAAGAGGTCAGACATGTGTCTTGAATCGAAATGATCTGAACTCTCAATTATTTCGATTGATATAAATCGTTTGAAAGAAGTAGCAAGTAAAAATTGGACATAAAAGAACGTTCGTCTCTTTATCTCATATTAATTTCCTTGATTAAATTTCTATATGTATCGATCTTCATTCCTGTACAAAAATATAATATAAATAGCACACAGTTATCAAAATACTTACTCGACATCTTAATCGATTTTGGCAACCTAAAGCTATGACGTTCCAGAGACAGAATGTCCCGTTTTCTTGATAAAATATTATAAGAAACATTATAAGAGTAAAACATATAAAATCTTCTCTCCATAAGAAATATTGACCATTAAATCTACTCGCTAGAAGAACATGCCTGACCTTAAAGTAACTCAGAGCTGCTAAAAAACCGATCTCCACTCTCTAACAAATTATAAAACCCTTTCCGTAAATCTAATATTCCATTTATCTACTATCATTTACCATCGATTTAACAAAATGATCGTTCCTCCAGTCTGACAGCACCCTTGATAGCGATGACGCCGGCTCCGCCACCCGTGGGACCCATGTCTCCTATGGGCCTGTCACCGGTGGGACCCCTGTCTCCGCCAAGGCCGCTCAGCCCGCCCAAACTCGCCTCACCACCGAAGCAGATAACACCGCAACAAGTGTTATCTCCACCCCCGGTGAGCCCTTTGCAGTCAAAAGGTGTGCCTAGCCCTACGATCCATCAGAGGCCCCCCAGCCCCCCGGGTCAGGCCCCTCAAAGTTCCGGAAGCGCGAGTTCCAGTTCCGATTCCGGTTCCGAGTCCGGCTCGGAGAGCAGCGACGACTCCGACGATGAGATCAGCCCGCAGCCCACCAAAGGTCCCACGACCCCACCCTCTGTGTCGCCAAAGAAAGACAATCTCATCGAGGATCCGCCTCCTGTGATCGAGGAGTCGAAACCAAGATGGAACCTCAGCTCTTTCCTGAACAAGACTGCTGTGCCTCACGGGGAGCAGAATGCTGAGACCAAACAACCCCAGGTACACCTTCTTCTTCTCATTCGCAATTGATCTCTGGACGCTGTTTTCTTAAAGGATGGCGATGACATTTGTTCCATCGTCTTTTTAATTGAATGCTGCAGGACGCTAGTCTTCTAGTATGCAATGAATCTTTTGGGGACAATTGAGCCGTTTATTTTGAAAGTGGCATAAGTCACTTTTTCAAAAAAATCGAGTTAATGGTAATACTAATTATAATTGAACGGTATCTTTTCATTAAAAAAAAAAAGTGACTTATGCCACTTTTAAGAACATTTTTCTNATCCGGCGCACAAGCTGTTTTAAAGAAAGTTGCATATTTTTATTTAGTCCGCATTCTGACTTAAAGAAAGTCGCGTATTTTTATCTGGTCCGCGATCTGTCTTAAAGAAAGTTACATAGCTGTATTTAGTCAATAATCGTTTCCAATGTTTCGCAATTTATTTGCACGAGGCAAGAGGTCAGACATGTGTCTTGAATCGAAATGATCTGAACTCTCAATTATTTCGATTGATATAAATCGTTTGAAAGAAGTAGCAAGTAAAAATTGGACATAAAAGAACGTTCGTCTCTTTATCTCATATTAATTTCCTTGATTAAATTTCTATATGTATCGATCTTCATTCCTGTACAAAAATATAATATAAATAGCACACAGTTATCAAAATACTTACTCGACATCTTAATCGATTTTGGCAACCTAAAGCTATGACGTTCCAGAGACAGAATGTCCCGTTTTCTTGATAAAATATTATAAGAAACATTATAAGAGTAAAACATATAAAATCTTCTCTCCATAAGAAATATTGACCATTAAATCTACTCGCTAGAAGAACATGCCTGACCTTAAAGTAACTCAGAGCTGCTAAAAAACCGATCTCCACTCTCTAACAAATTATAAAACCCTTTCCGTAAATCTAATATTCCATTTATCTACTATCATTTACCATCGATTTAACAAAATGATCGTTCCTCCAGTCTGACAGCACCCTTGATAGCGATGACGCCGGCTCCGCCACCCGTGGGACCCATGTCTCCTATGGGCCTGTCACCGGTGGGACCCCTGTCTCCGCCAAGGCCGCTCAGCCCGCCCAAACTCGCCTCACCACCGAAGCAGATAACACCGCAACAAGTGTTATCTCCACCCCCGGTGAGCCCTTTGCAGTCAAAAGGTGTGCCTAGCCCTACGATCCATCAGAGGCCCCCCAGCCCCCCGGGTCAGGCCCCTCAAAGTTCCGGAAGCGCGAGTTCCAGTTCCGATTCCGGTTCCGAGTCCGGCTCGGAGAGCAGCGACGACTCCGACGATGAGATCAGCCCGCAGCCCACCAAAGGTCCCACGACCCCACCCTCTGTGTCGCCAAAGAAAGACAATCTCATCGAGGATCCGCCTCCTGTGATCGAGGAGTCGAAACCAAGATGGAACCTCAGCTCTTTCCTGAACAAGACTGCTGTGCCTCACGGGGAGCAGAATGCTGAGACCAAACAACCCCAGGTACACCTTCTTCTTCTCATTCGCAATTGATCTCTGGACGCTGTTTTCTTAAAGGATGGCGATGACATTTGTTCCATCGTCTTTTTAATTGAATGCTGCAGGACGCTAGTCTTCTAGTATGCAATGAATCTTTTGGGGACAATTGAGCCGTTTATTTTGAAAGTGGCATAAGTCACTTTTTCAAAAAAATCGAGTTAATGGTAATACTAATTATAATTGAACGGTATCTTTTCATTAAAAAAAAAAAGTGACTTATGCCACTTTTAAGAACATTTTTCTCAGAGAACTAGACTATGTATCAAAGACATAATGGGAACAATGATCAATAGATTCTGACCCTTTGTTATGTACATATCAAATTATGTTTGCAATTTCTGGAATAAAATATGCAGTTCTAGTGTTCCCACTATGTCGACATTCGTCCTCAAAGGGTTACCGCATTGGGCAGAATAGACTCGGGTTAATTAAAGAGAGGATAATAAAGAAATCGTTTGGCTATTTCGTTGAAATATCTAGCCTTAAAACTCCAATTAATCATGACAATTTGTCTCGCCAGGATTGCGCCAGGCGCACGGGTTCGCCAGCAGTGGTGGCGGACACGAGGACTTTAAGAGAGAAGGCGAACCACGACTGGAAGCTGGACGAGGCGTTCAAGAGAACGCACACAGACTCGCTGATCACGATGATGAGCGACAGCGACCACCACTCGGACCAAGAGAAGACCAAGCCGGTCGAAGAGAGTCGTGCGCCGGAGAAACCAAAGGTGGCGGACGCCAGGAAACGTGGTCGTCCTAGAAAGCCGACGAAAAGCCCGAAAACTGGTCACCGGGCGACCGAAGAGAGTCTGAAGAACGGAAAGCCTCGCAGCCGAATGAGACCGATCGGCAGTCCGATGAAGAAGAAGCAGCCGATCTCAAAGGCGACGATCGCGACCAGCGACGACGGCAGCGACGATCAGGGTGCCTCCAGCGACTCTGACAGCGACCGACCCGCCAGAGTATCGCCGGCTGTGGTCATCAGCGAGAAAAGACGGCCAAGACTGAGCGCTTCATCCAGCGAAGACGAAAGTCCACCGAATAATGGCAAGGCCACCAACGTCTCCGACGAGGACAACTCGCGCTGGAGGAGGGTTCCCATCAAGAGGACCAAGCTTGCGGACTCGCCGAAGAAGCAAGAAAAGAAGAAGAGTCCTCCAAAGCCAAAATCGAGAAGATCCAGCTCCAGAGTGGCCGCTGCAGGCTCGGACTCCGATAGCGAATCCGAGGTGTCTGTGAGGAACAGTCGCATCCAGGTTGCCAGGTCAGTATCTAACTTCTCCTTGTCCATACTATCCAAGTGCCTATCTAACTCTGGTTCTCACAGGGTCCCTCCGAGGCCACGAGCTCCGCCGACAAGAACGACGTCGCCGGAGAACTCCGACAGCGACAACAGTCCGGGCCCAAAGCTGCAGGAGGAGGACGCCGGGAACGTGCAGGACAAGAAGAAGAGCGATACGCTGCGAAGGGTGTTCTCGACCTCGGTGGGTGGCGGCAAAGGTGGCGGCAAGGGTGGCAAAGGTGGTAAAGGCGGCGGCAAGTGCGGCATTTACGTGGAGGAGTACACGACATCTGCGAACACGCCGACCGGCAACGAGAGTCCTTACAAGAGACCCTCGTCCCAGGCTTCCACCGCAGTCCAGACCCTCCCGTCGCTGACGTACGTGAACGGGGTGCCCAGCCTCTTCTGCAGGATCGACCTGAGCAGGCTGCCACATATATCACAATTGTCCAGGGGTCAGGAATTCAGGGAGCGCACGGAGCTGCCGGATACCAGGCCGTCCTCGAGGCAGGCGGTGACCTTGACCGCCCAGCCGCCGAGGCCACCTACCCCCGAAGAGGGCGAGATCGTGGACACGCCGCCGCCGCCCCAGCAGCTGCCCCCAGACACCAGGATCCACGCCGACGTGATCGTTGAAAACGATCACAAGAACCGCGCTGTGATCAAAGGCGAGCCGATCTCGGACTCGAAGACCGGCATCAGCGGCGTCGTTGGTGCCAGTGGTGCTAGTGCGAGTGCTAGTGGTGCTAGTGGGGCGGGTAGCGCGCCCAAGAGGAAACGTAACCCGAGTGATAGTTCTGTGACTAATTTGAGTACTCTGTGTTCCTTGGAGACGAAGGCCAAGGGCTCGGCCGAGCACAAGGAAAAAAAGAAACGTAAGCGGAAACATGCTGACGTCGAGGTCGTCGCTACCAGGCCATCTAGTCAGGTGAGCTGGACTCCATTGGACCCTTTAACTTTTGGCAGTTGTGCGTGGCGAATGTGAGGGGACGACGTGTTGTCCGGGACCCGCTAGAGGACTCACCGATAAAGCTGTTCTAGCGGGTCCTTGGCTTAGACGTCGGTATGTCGAAGGAGAAGATGTAGGAAGATGTAGGATTCCAGGAGGAAGATTGCTTTTCGTTGTTCGTGTTAGCTGTACCTCATTACGGCGCAGCCGTAAGAAGGAGCCTTCATTGCTCTACTCCACCTCTGACACACATTTTTGATGCTGAGGTTTTCATCAGGCTTTCATCCTTGTTGTGAGCGCGTTACTCAAGCGGTGAACTTTACTCCAGTTGTGAAGTCATTGCTCGTACAGTTGTCGTGGGATGGCAGTGAGTCGCTGCTGTCCTAACATGGCTTTTTTGTAAAGTCACACATTGTCCTCGTGATGTCCGCCGATCTGTCGACGTCGTCGTAGGTCCAGGATGTCGTGAAAATTCGGAGTGCCAAGCGTTTCCGCAGATCTACAGCGATGGCCACACTAGGAGAGGGATTACGCAGTCTCGGCCGCTTTTAAATCCTCCTGGCGTTAATCCGTGCCTGCTGTATGCCCTCTCTCGGTTCTCGTGTCGTCTCCAGGTAGTGCTGTAGGTCGTCGATCAAAAGGTTGCGTGTTCAAATCACGTCGAGGTCACCAATTTGAATGTGACGATGCTTGGGAGAAAAGGAGAGGGGAACACGTGCTAGACCCCCCTCCCTAGCGGGCCCTTGCCTTAAACGTTGGAATGTCGAAGGAGAAGATGTAGGAAGATGTAGGAAGAACGAAGGAGTCATCTGCTGGCGGGCCTGGAGGTAGCCGCCACAAACTATCGGCCATTGTGAAGAATCATTTTTAACACAGATTTTATTAATCTTCATCGTACTGGAAGAGGTACATTGATTTTTGCTAGCTAAACAGTTAAATGATCGAGGTACATTCTCAATAGGTGACAGGAAAACAAGAGCAGAACCTTTACAAGACACAATTTCTCATTCTCATCATCCCATGTCCCTTCCACTAATGCACAAGTCGGCAAGAAAAAGAAATTTGTCTTATCAAGGTACATTCTGAACGAGTGATACACTAACGTGAAAATGCTATTCGCCTTCTTAGCGTCATGCTCGACACTACTCTCCATAAGGACGTGTGTCTATTCCCAAAATCCAAGCTAGTAAATGCATAGATCTTAAATGAAAAAGCGACGGATGAGGGAGACACGATGATACGCTAGAGAGTAGTTGCAGCTATTTTATCTCAGCCCTAATTAGGTGTTATATCGTTGAAGATCCGAGTTGCTAGCGAATAAGAGCTAATTAAATAGCTGTCGGTGCTCTTTAGTTCCCTGTTGCGTTGTCGACCAACTATGTTAATGAAATATGAATGTACACTTGATACCGCAGCCATAACAGCACTAACGCGACTGTTCCTTACACAGCAGAGTGGTATTCAGCCAACGAACCATGAGCGGGAAGAGAAATCTGAGACTAGTCTCTTGCCGCCACCGCCTCCGCCTCAACGCGTCTATTACTCATACTTCAACCCTCAAAACGAAGTCTTGGAGGATCAGGATAGGTGGTGAGTCGCTTCAAACCTTCGCTAATTCGAACCTCGAAGTTTCTAATAACTGTCAGACCGCGGACATTTAAAATTCGAGTCTTTCACTTTTAACAATAAATAATCACATAATCAGAAACTAACAATTCTATATTTTCAAAGTAAAAAAAGAAGGAGTGAAACGTTAAGCCCCCTTCGAAATGATTATACGTTCGCGTTGTTGGGTGCAGGGACCAGAACCAGTACCTGATGGAAGCGAAACGGTTGAAGCACAGCGCCGACAAGGAGTGCGAGCTCACGGCGCAAGGGATGCTCTACCTGGAAGCAGTTCTCTGTTTCCTGCTGACTGGGAACGCAATGGAGTCGGATCCCCTCACCGAGAGGGCGTCGTTCACTATGTACAAGGATACTCTGAGTCTTATCAAGTAAGTGGATGTCTAATTAACCATAAGCCACCCTAAGGTCTGTCTAATTAAACCGATTTCTGATACGGACGGTCCTCCAGGTACATCTCGTCGAAGTTTAAGAGCCAGCAGAATAGCTCGCCTGAGAGCAGTATACACAACAAGCTGGCCATTCTAAGGTGAGGGCTGCGCCACTTCCTATCTTTCATTCGACGATTTAGAAGCAGCGTGCTGTAGCCCTGATACTTTGTTTCAGCCTCTTCTGTCAGTCCCTCATATACTTGAAACTTTTCAAGATGCATAAACCTGAAGTCAAACAGACCCAGAAGCTTCTGACGGAGTATCACCAAAAGGTAAATTTAGGACAATAATGACCTTGCTCTGTGTTTAGAAGAGATTGTTTCTTTACCGAATGTTTCTTGCGTTATCAGCAAGCTGCTCAGGCGACGCCAGTGCAACCAGAGGGTCAAGGGACGCCGTCTCTGTCACCCACACCCTCACCTGCTGGCTCTGTTGGCTCTGTAGGCAGCCAAAGTTCCGGATACAGCAGCGGAGAACTGGCGAACCGCGGAGCTGCGTCTGGTCAGGCACAGGCAGCTCCATACGTCAGCGTCCCATTCGGCATCTATAGCGCTATGGCGAAGCAAAACTACCAGTTCAATTTGATGTTGAACTGCCACGAACTCTGGGACCAGGCGCACGCTTTGGTAACGGATAAACACAGAGGTGAGCAACCCTTAAACTCTCTTTTAGATCTCGTAGCTCGAAGAACCTTCGTTTCTACTTTCGAAGGGTTGCTTCTTATCAATTTTGTACCGTTCACGTAATTAATGACCATTTTCTGTTTTCCAGACTTCTTTATTGAACTGGACGAGAAGCTGGGACCTCTAACCTTGAAGAGCTCGTTGCGAGACCTGGTGCGCTACGTCCAGGCCGGCATAAAGAAGCTTCGTGATCTCTGACCACAGTGGCACAGCCCCCGACCACCCACCCCCAACTATATCACCTCTCTGCCGCAGAACATGGCTACGTATCCAACAATGTTTACGTAAAACAGAGTTACCAGTTGCGGCGTGCTGGATAAAAATTCCTTTTTGAAGAGTGATAGGAAGAGAGAGAGAGAGAGAGAGAGAGAGAGAAAGAGAGGGAAAGAGGAAGTCGTCGAGCTTCATCGTCAAGAAGAAGGGCTGTTGAGGTGAGGACAAGGGGATTCGGTGGTCACGGGAGAGCATCGGATCTTTGAGGAGGATCGTTGAGTCCCTCTTCGAGTAGGCACCAACTTTTCATAGTCAATTGCAAGCTACCGATCCGACGAACAACCTGAGAAGATAGATCCTAGAGGTACGTTCTCGAGCACGGTTCCTCCTGTGTCGCTCATATTTTTCAAGCAGAGGACCACCTCCGGTCGCCGTCGTCAGCCCTGAAGACGACACTGAAGAGCAACGAAGCGTCACGAAGATACGGAAGAGGAGGATCAAAGTGTGTTCGACTAAGAAAGTTCTCTTTGTAAATTACCAAGGCTGCATTCATAAGACGAAGAGGGAGAGAGAGAAAGAGAGAGAGAGAGAGGGGGGGGCAAGGTCGGGAATCGGAGGAGTACCACGAAGGAAAGGGAAATAAGAAGTGCCACAGAAGCGCCCGTGTGTTCTCGCTTCACGGTGCGACGTTACCTGAAGCATGAGTCTCGTCTCGGCGATTCGAGTGCGACGAATACACAATTATATAAACATATAATGCATATAGTTTATTACTTATATAAATATATAAATAATTATAAATATATATATATTTAATAATGAAAAGAGAACCAACATGTGACACGCCCCGCCGCGTGTTTCGTTTTTAGCAAACAAGAAGTTGAAGAAGAAGAATAGCGGCGAAGAATGTGAGAGAGAGATTGAGAGAAAGAGAGAGTGGAGAGAGAGAGAGAGAGAGAGAGAGAGAGAGAGAAGAAAGACGCGCTATGCGCGCGAGCAACGAGATCAACTGTCGATCACGATCGACACACTATTAACAAATATATATATTACAAAAATATATAAATATATTGCCCGGCGTCCAAGGACGCGCGGCTCTTTTGTAGATAGGTTACGGAAAAACGGGGGGAGGGGGGCCGGAGAGCTGAGAGAAAGGGGTGGCATGTTTTAGACTAGATGAATGCGCAACAAGGATGATAAAGGAAAAACCGAGGAGGAGAAACGGTGTAACAGAGAGAGGAAAGAGAGAGAGAGAGAGAAAGAGAGAAGAATACAACCAATACATATTATTTACATTACTTAGAGTTTAAACAAGGGGAAATAAAGTAGAGGTTCTAGCGACGAGATGCACGAAATAAGAAAATAAAAAAGAATATTCAGATAATTATAACGTATAGCGCATTACCATACGTAAATACAAACAAACAATACACACAGACACGAACACGGATACACACGTATCGCGATTAAAGGAGAATAATGTAAGAGAAAAAAGAAAAAGACAAAAGAAAGAGGGAAAGAGATGTGAGAAAAAATGACGAACATATGTATATATATATATGTATATACAAATTTATATATATATATATATATATACACACACCAGACACAAGAGGACGAGGACGAAGAAGATGAAGACGACGATGAAGTAACAATTTAAATACCTAAAGGACCGTGTTCCTCTTCGCGGAGGGGCATGAGCGATAAATGCGACGAAACAAAGAAAAAAGCATAAACGGATAAGCGAGTTGCTCATGTGTATATTTTTGTAAATAGGTATTTGCGAGTGCCGCCGCCTTGAGGGCGGCCCGACGTCGCGGCGCCGCGCGTCTGGCCGGCCCGCCCCAATTTTTGCTACCACAAATCTTATCGAGAATCAGGAAATTTCTGGTAAAAAATGAGTAAGATGAAAAAAAATATTTAAGTAATAAAAGAAAAACACAACACGGTACGCGAGTACGTCGTCACGGTTCTTTTTACTTTCGAGTGATCAGCGTTAGAACGAGAAGAGTACGGAAAGAAAGGATGAGGAAGGGAAGAAGTATTTCGTTTGCGTTCTTTCTCTCTTTCGTTTGTGTGTCGTTTCGGTTCTGGTCGCACGCGATCCGCACGCGTCGTTTCATCCGCGACATTCTCTCGAAACGTTCCTTTCGTTCGCTCGTCTCCGCTTCCTTTTGCGTTACGCTTGTCAAGTTTTCCCCGAGGGAAGTCACTTTCGCGGTCGGAGAGCAAGAGAACCAAGGTGTGCTCGGCTGATCAACGACCTCTTTCGGTTGTTGCTGTGGCTAGAGAATGACAACAATGTATACGAGGCCCGAGCGTTTCGAGCTAAATTTAGATGCAGGATAGTGAAATTCAGAGGCGATTTTGTTGGCAAACTTGTCGCTGGATAAAAAGAATCTTATCGAATGATGTCTAAAACGAAGTTGAAACTATATATATCATTATCGATTCTATTAGTAGAATCGATACTAATTATATAATACTTTCAACTTTCGAAAATGAAGTCCGCAGTCTGAAACGCACCTAAATATTTGCGTAAAATCATTCGCGCGGGGTGAACAATTTTTATGACGAACTGTCTCTGCGTTTCAAAAGGATAACGTAGTAAATTATGGTCTGATTTATTAAAATTAGATTCAGACAAACTCGGTTATGTCGAATTACTGAAATGTTGATTTCAATGGAACCAACCGGAATGATTAACATTAGAGTTTTTTACCTATCGCTTTACCTCATTTATCAAGACATTGTACAATTATTATTACGATAATAATGTGTTACGAAAGACGAGAACACTGTTGGTGCCAAGTTTAGCTAACATTGTCGCCGTGGTCTCATCTAGAAGCGTGGGAGGTTCGTCGGACCGAGGGACGAGACCCCGGCGGCCCATAGAGTTACTCTAATCGCGGTCCAATGGTTCACGGGATACAATTTTCTACCTCGTGTGCGAAACAAAGCGGTTGAACGAGGATTTAAAGAACTAAACTAACAAAAAAAAAAACGACGTAAAAGAGGCAAAGTCTATTAAAAAAAAAAAGAAAGTTTTGATATTTTCGAGACACATATTTATAGCGGATACGTATAAATATCAGGCCCCCGGTCTCGTCCGTCGTTGTAGCGGCGATTATGGTTGTCGGCGATTAGGATGGTTCTGCATGCGAGGGTGCAAAGCAAAAATATCATACCGATTCGACTTGGGTCCTTCCGATCGATCCTGATTTTTTTCTGTTCGTCTCCCCGGTGTCCTTGATTCGGCGTGAACAGAACATGGTCCTTGCTGAACGTCCTTGGTTTCGCGGGCATGTGAAAGCCCACGTTCCTAGCTTGACCTCCAAAGATGCAGATGGGTGCTGCCGGTTACTATTGCCACGTAGGGGACAAAAACAATTCCGGTATTCTCATTCACTTCCTCTTCTCTCCCCCTCCTCTCTTCCTCTCTTTCTCTTTCTCTCGCACTTTCACTCTCATTGCGATGAGTTTCCTTCGAGACAAGTTCTCCACGAGATCTGCTCTCTTTCTTCTCTCTCTCTCTCTCATTCTTTCTTTTCTCTCTCTCTCTCTCTCTCTCTCTTTCTTTCTCGTCCCGTTTCCTTCCCTTATGTTTGATGCCTCTCGGCCGAGAAGAGTTTTGTCTCACGCGTATTATTTAAATATACATATTATATCGTTACTATTATCACTATTTTTATTATTAATTTTATTATTATATTACTATTCATTCTTAATTAATAATCATTCTTATTATTACTATTACTATTATTATTGTCATATTATTATTGAGTTTTATTGGTACTAAGATTTTTTTCTAGTTTTCCTTTTTCTTTCTTCGATGTACATATTTATATGCGAGCGGAATGGGGGTCTGAGAGAATTTGCCGCGCGCGTCTTCGCGAGGGCCTGAAATGCCGAGAGAGCGAGAGAGATGTGCGATTCTACGAAGCAATGCAGGTCGGCGACCGACACAAATTGTACATTGTACCTAACGCAGCAGCAGAAACTTTTTTTTCTCTTTTGATTTGTGTACGTATACATTCATACACACATATATATATATTTGTTTCGTTCGATTAGTTTCTTCTGCGGTCGACGGTGTTCGAGATCGATCTGTCGAGCGTATATTATTATACATGTATACATAATCTCGAGATTCGATTCTTTATTGCCGTTCTTCTGTTTTCCCATCCCCACCTCACCCTCCCCCCCTTACGGCCCCCGTTCCATCCTCTCGTCGCGGACACTATACATTTTCTTTCTTATTTTCGCTACACCGTATAATTGTAATATATTTCTATACATACCGAGAAAAACAAACACACCGCGGACAACACTTACGAGTATATGTATACATAGATACACGATCGTAATTATATTATTATACTAATAGTATTGCAGGATCTTGGGGAAATAAGAGGGGACCGCGCACACGGGGCTAAAATACCGCGTCCTTGAGACCTCCTCGGCTGATCCGCAACATCTGCGAACATCAGTCACGGCACCCTCAGGCTTTCCTAATTTCCGCTATCATATTCTGGGGGGTCCTGGTCCCATGCTCGGCCGAACTGTCGTGACATTTGTCCCCGGATGTCACGGCGTTGTCTCTGTCTCTGTCGCGCGCATCATCGTCGCCTTTCGGGGACACACCATCCGTTCTGCTCAATCCAGCAGTTTTCTCTTTCGTTGGCCCCCTAATTTCGCAACGATCATCGTTTTATCATCGTCCATAGCGATCGGTACTCCCCTGACGAGTCTCCGAGGATCTTAGGAAAAGTGCTGACTATCCATTCGCTTTCCCAAATTCGTCGGGACACTTAAAAATCCCTGTCGAGTCTTCTGAACCCTCTAAATCGTAAAAATTGTGTGCTTCCCATCTCTTCGTGGCCATTCAGGCTCGTCGAAGGGCACCCAGCACCGTGGCCCGACTCCTCTGCGCTGAGATCTTCCGGCATAATCTCGCTAAGAGTTCTATGCTCGCGCGAAGGAATGTCAACGTCAACTTCTTCGGGTTATAGGGTTTCGGTCTTCTCTATTAGAAGCCGAAGAGGCTTCTTCGAATATGAATTCCTTCTCTTTTCTAAATTGATAATTCTTTTCGAGATCGTCTTCTTGTTTGGATTCGTCTTCTTTCCCTCCGCCGCATGGTCGATCATATTTTCCAGTCCACCCGACGCAACTCCACATGTCTAAACGAAGTGTCCTTCCGATCCCCGAACGTGGCGACGCTAGTTAGCACCACTTCGGTTACGTCCTTGTTCGCGAACGTACGCGCCTCCGAATGTAGGATCTTAGGAAACGAGGGAACCGCGACGCCACGCGAATTGGTAGCTGATCGAACCGAGTCCCGCGACATCAGCCACGGAACCCTCCGGCATTCCTAATTTCCGTACGTTGTTGCTAGACTGCTGATCTTTATGGAACCGAGAACGCATAAAATCCGCAGGCTAGTCATTGTATTCTGGGGGGTGCTGATCCCACAGTATTGTATGTATAATAATTATTTTACTATACTCTCGTATACGGTCACAGTTCGTGCCACCAGATTTTCGGCCCGTCGCGTTGCCAAAGCCGCGGGAGAGTCCTCCGCACCCTGCCCAAGTGCCAACTATTATTTCCCGTTGCTAGGAACACCCCGCGATCCTCCAAATTACCTTGAAATTGTCAACCTCCACGATTTCTACAGAGCGAGACGGGTCGGAGGACTCTCCTTCGAGCTGGCAGTTCATCTGGTCGGTGCAAAGACGATTGCGATTTATCGGGGCTCCAAATTAGGCACATACTTGAAGATAAATTTACGTTCGGACATATNATACCGCGTCCTTGAGACCTCCTCGGCTGATCCGCAACATCTGCGAACATCAGTCACGGCACCCTCAGGCTTTCCTAATTTCCGCTATCATATTCTGGGGGGTCCTGGTCCCATGCTCGGCCGAACTGTCGTGACATTTGTCCCCGGATGTCACGGCGTTGTCTCTGTCTCTGTCGCGCGCATCATCGTCGCCTTTCGGGGACACACCATCCGTTCTGCTCAATCCAGCAGTTTTCTCTTTCGTTGGCCCCCTAATTTCGCAACGATCATCGTTTTATCATCGTCCATAGCGATCGGTACTCCCCTGACGAGTCTCCGAGGATCTTAGGAAAAGTGCTGACTATCCATTCGCTTTCCCAAATTCGTCGGGACACTTAAAAATCCCTGTCGAGTCTTCTGAACCCTCTAAATCGTAAAAATTGTGTGCTTCCCATCTCTTCGTGGCCATTCAGGCTCGTCGAAGGGCACCCAGCACCGTGGCCCGACTCCTCTGCGCTGAGATCTTCCGGCATAATCTCGCTAAGAGTTCTATGCTCGCGCGAAGGAATGTCAACGTCAACTTCTTCGGGTTATAGGGTTTCGGTCTTCTCTATTAGAAGCCGAAGAGGCTTCTTCGAATATGAATTCCTTCTCTTTTCTAAATTGATAATTCTTTTCGAGATCGTCTTCTTGTTTGGATTCGTCTTCTTTCCCTCCGCCGCATGGTCGATCATATTTTCCAGTCCACCCGACGCAACTCCACATGTCTAAACGAAGTGTCCTTCCGATCCCCGAACGTGGCGACGCTAGTTAGCACCACTTCGGTTACGTCCTTGTTCGCGAACGTACGCGCCTCCGAATGTAGGATCTTAGGAAACGAGGGAACCGCGACGCCACGCGAATTGGTAGCTGATCGAACCGAGTCCCGCGACATCAGCCACGGAACCCTCCGGCATTCCTAATTTCCGTACGTTGTTGCTAGACTGCTGATCTTTATGGAACCGAGAACGCATAAAATCCGCAGGCTAGTCATTGTATTCTGGGGGGTGCTGATCCCACAGTATTGTATGTATAATAATTATTTTACTATACTCTCGTATACGGTCACAGTTCGTGCCACCAGATTTTCGGCCCGTCGCGTTGCCAAAGCCGCGGGAGAGTCCTCCGCACCCTGCCCAAGTGCCAACTATTATTTCCCGTTGCTAGGAACACCCCGCGATCCTCCAAATTACCTTGAAATTGTCAACCTCCACGATTTCTACAGAGCGAGACGGGTCGGAGGACTCTCCTTCGAGCTGGCAGTTCATCTGGTCGGTGCAAAGACGATTGCGATTTATCGGGGCTCCAAATTAGGCACATACTTGAAGATAAATTTACGTTCGGACATATTATTATTATTATTATTATTATTATTATTATTATTATTAATTAGTAATTATTATTATCATTATTCGGACCGCTATTAGTGCGCAGATCCACTGATTTTCGCGCGCGATTTCTTTTTTTAACACTTTATCTACCGGGAGGCTTTCTGATGATCGATCGACGGTCCAACGGAAACTCCGATAAGTTTACGATAATTTTTAAAGAACCTGTTACGTTAGATTAAGCTGACTAGAAATATACTGACAATGCAGAAACTGTATGGAGAATGATTTCATCTTCACCGTCTTTCTTTCTCTCGCCTTTTCGATAAATGTCCCTTCTAGTTCTTAGAAAACCGCCGGTAGACAAAGTGTTAAAAAATGCAACAACTTCGTCGCAAGGTGCCAGAAAAAAACATGGCACCCGAGGTTGCTCTTCGGCTTGCAAGCAAGCCCAGAAAGTACGTCCGACACGACACAGTTTATAAAAGAAAAAAGCAAAAAAAAAAGAATGAAATTGTAGTAAAATTAAGATGCGTCGAGGATTCCCATTGAATTGTTAACCACGAATAAATTGTAAAACATGGAAGTTGATTCGAAGAAATTTTCGAAATGCGCCCCCGGAATCACCGTTCGCAACAACCGGTGGTGAATCGTGGCACCGCCCGTAAAACGTCGTTCGCCCCCGAGACGAGAATAATCTTAGCCGAGACGAATCGAATCGGATCGACTCGAATTTAATTTGGCTGCGCCGAGAATTCGCAGAACAGATTTATTCCTCGTCGTCACAGTAATTGCGAACAAGTGTTGTACTTCAGGCTCAGGACATTGCGATCGCTTGCACCGACCCAGTAATCAGCGACGCAACGATCAATTTAATTAGTTAGCGCGTGGCGCGATCGGCGAGGGGGTGGACCCTGTCCACGATTCGAAGGGTAGCTTCCGCGTGGTAGCGACGCACGCGAAATGCCCGACCGACCGACCGACCGATCGTCCGAAGCAAGGATTCCGATGGACGGTCGGTCTCCGTTATTCTAAATGGCCCTACCCTTCACTCGTCAGGGTCCCGTTCTTCGCTCCCCGATTTCCGGTGGCGTCGCGAAATTGCGCGCCGATCCGCCCACGCCTCGCACAGAGATCATCTCAAAGAGACGGCCAGACAGACGAGCAAACGAAACAGAGCAAACAGGCAGGCTAGCAGATCCGCAGGATTGAAACGGGGGATGCGAGAGGGAGCGGGAGAGAATTGAGAGAGAGAGAGAGAGAGAGAGAATGACTGTGTTTAATACGCTCGCGTCCTGTTCCACGTTGCCGGCTTGGTGGAAAGCCAATTTATTATGGAAGCCGATCGGTGGTCGAGCTCGAAGGGTGTAATTAGGCTGCGAATTTTCTCATTCGGATCCTGGAATTTTAATGAAACCCTTCCGCTGTTCCCATGCGAACATAATTGCTCAATCCTTAATTGGTCGGGTGATTCAAGAACAATACGTTTCCGGAGGTGATTAATCGTCAGGTTTAACACTGAACTTACCGTTACACAAAATGACCGCACTTTTTATAGAAAAAATCCATCGATTAATGAACGAAGGTAATGCTTGCGTAGTTGCCGTGTCTCGCAATCGATGCCGGCAACTTTGATTTTGCATTAGATTCTGCGTTTTAACGATGAGAGTCGTTGAGCCTTTAACAATCGATCCAGTTGAATTCTAATTTCTTCTCGGGTGATTAAGAATTTCCGACTGTTCTCGACATATTCTAAGACACAAGATCCTTCGGTACTTTCGTAGCAAATTATTAGAGAGATCTTGTAATACCGGGTTACGAATTAGATCGAAAAATCCGGATAAAACGCAGCATTATCGTTTATGTAAAGTGTCAATTGATTCTAGTGATTCTAGTTGGTTTAGTGTTAAATTGCGTAACGATCAATAAAACACAATTTGTGGGCGTCGAATGCCAAGGATCCTTCCGGTAACCTTTTTTTTTTGGAAAATCGTACGAACCGCTCGACCATTTCAGGGTTAAATTCAGACGTTAATCAACGTGAAAATTCGCAGTCTAATTTCACATATTTTGTACTGGAAGCGGCCACAAAGTTTTCGAAACCAGTTTCGAACGGACGTTGCAATATTTTCGTTGGCTGTATTCGAGCTCGTTTCACCCGCTCGATCAGCGCCCACTCGCAGCGAGTAACTTGATTCCCGCCAATCCGGCGAGCGACAATTTTTCTAAGCATTGTATTAAAAGAAAGGACAATTAACTGAGAATCAGTCGGCGTGAGCGTGCAAAGAGAGAGAGAAAGAGAGAGAGAGAATGACAGAAATAACCTACTGAATCGAGGCAAAGAGCAATAAGAGACGCATAGTATGGCAACCGCACCAAGGAGAGACCAAACTCGCTTAACGAAAGATTTAATTACTTACCTGCTTTTTATTTATTTTAATTATTAATGTTAATTATTAATTATTGTATTTATTGGCGCGGATCGCTGGGTAGAGACTTGGAGGCGGCTGGTGCTCGGTCGAACGACCACCCCCGCCACCCCTTGGAAACGAACGAGAAGGGAGGCGAAAGAGAACCGAAGCGGAGATCAGGTTGTCTCGTTGTTTAGCTTAGGCTAGCTCCGATGGCTGGGAAAACATTGCAAGTAGGGTTATCAGGCACAGGGAATTGATGGCGAGCATCCACGATCCTAATTGATACAAAAGTTGCTCAATCGTCGATCCTAAATTGTCTTTTGGCCGATCCAGAAAATCCATTTTCATCCCCCAAACCTTTTTATGTTCTAAACCTATCTGCTACAAGGTAGGTACAATTGTTACGAACAAAATGTTGATTGCATACGATTTTCTGAAAAAGCTTACGGAAAGGATTTTTGGCATTCGACGCCCACAAATTCTGTTTTATTCGTCACTTCGCAATTTAACACTGAATCGCTAGAATCAATTGGTACTTTGTATAAACGATAATGCCGCGTTTTATCTGGATTTTTCGATCTAATTCGTAATCCGGAATTACAAGATCTTTCTAATAATTTGCTACGAAAGGACTTGAAGGATCTTGTGTCTTAGAATTTGTCGAAAACCGTCGGAAATTCTTAACCACCCGAGAAGAAATTGGAATTCAACTGGATCGGTCGTTAAGCTGAACGATTCTTATCGGTAAAACGTAGAATCTAACGCGAAAGAAAAGTTGTCGGCATCGATTGCAAGATACGACAACCGCGCGAACATTGCCCCTTGTTTCCGAATTGATAGATTTTTAAATAAAAAGTGAGTTTAGTGTTAAACGTGACGATTAAATCACCTGCGAAAACCTACGACTTTTGAACCGCACAATTAATTAAGGACCGAACTCTCGTGACCTCAGATTCAAATCGCTGTCCCCTTCATGATAATTCATCCTTCTCATGTATCTCAGAACCTAATACGATGATCTTAGACCTGTCAGATAATCGGCTGGAACACCCGGATGGCCAAAAGACACCATTTCCTGCCTGTCAACCTCAATCCCACGCATCAATTCCCAGTTGCCCAGGCATTATTCGACAACTCTCTCGAATCAGGCGTCGCAAGGGGAGGACACTGCGCCCCGAGGATCATCGTTCTATGATCCCGCGCGGCCAGTTGACGGTATTTCCTAGATCGAAATTGCTAGGAGCCTCGACTAGGGGTTGATTGAGCTGTGAACGGCTTTAGTCAGGGGTCTGTCTTTGTCAACAGCCCCTGGGAATGCGATCTCATCACGTTCACCGGTCCTCCCACGCGTAGGGGACAACCCCTGGATTCGAGTGGGCTGTTCGATGCTCTACAGCATGTAGAGGACACGGTGGTTGGTTTGAATCATGCTAAGTTTCGTACAACATTGACACAAATTGCCTAGCTTCTATTCTCGATCGTGGCTTCGATCGAACTTAGGGCTTCTCTTGTAGCTTGTTGGGGGTTAGGGGTCTGTTAACAATTTCTATAATATCTTGTTCATTTTATAATTCGGCTTTCCTTGCGTTTCTAATTTGGCAATGTAGATTGGGGTTCTATCTGTAACAATTTCTGCAATATCTTGTTCATTTTATAATTCGGCTTTCCTTGCGTTTCTAATTTGGCAATGTAGATTGGGGTTCTATCTGTAACAATTTCTGCAATATCTTGTTCATTTTATAATTCGGCTTTCCTTGCGTTTCTAATTTGGCAATGTAGATTGGGGTTCTATCTGTAACAATTTCTGCAATATCTTGTTCATTTTATAATTCGGCTTTCCTTGCGTTTCTAATTTGGCAATGTAGATTGGGGTTCTATCTGTAACAATTTCTGCAATATCTTGTTCATTTTATAATTCGGCTTTCCTTGCGTTTCTAATTTGGCAATGTAGATTGGGGTTCTATCTGTAACAATTTCTGCAATATCTTGTTCATTTTATAATTCGGCTTTCCTTGCGTTTCTAATTTGGCAATGTAGATTGGGGTTCTATCTGTAACAATTTCTGCAATATCTTGTTCATTTTATAATTCGGCTTTCCTTGCGTTTCTAATTTGGCAATGTAGATTGGGGTTCTATCTGTAACAATTTCTGCAATATCTTGTTCATTTTATAATTCGGCTTTCCTTGCGTTTCTAATTTGGCAATGTAGATTGGGGTTCTATCTGTAACAATTTCTGCAATATCTTGTTCATTTTATAATTCGGCTTTCCTTGCGTTTCTAATTTGGCAATGTAGATTGGGGTTCTATCTGTAACAATTTCTGCAATATCTTGTTCATTTTATAATTCGGCTTTCCTTGCGTTTCTAATTTGGCAATGTAGATTGGGGTTCTATCTGTAACAATTTCTGCAATATCTTGTTCATTTTATAATTCGGCTTTCCTTGCGTTTCTAATTTGGCAATGTAGATTGGGGTTCTATCTGTAACAATTTCTGCAATATCTTGTTCATTTTATAATTCGGCTTTCCTTGCGTTTCTAATTTGGCAATGTAGATTGGGGTTCTATCTGTAACAATTTCTGCAATATCTTGTTCATTTTATAATTCGGCTTCCTTTGCGCTTCTAATTTGGCAATGTAAATTGGGGTTCTATCTGTAATTTTTGCGGTCGATGGGAACAGTCGTGGGAATGTCTGTCGCAGCTGCAGAGACAATATCGGCGACCCATTTGGGTAGCTTCGATGGACATTCAATGACTGATCGGACCGACTCCGTCGATTTCGGATTTTTCTGTCGACGCGATTCTCTCGGAGCTCTTCCAAAGATATATGTTCCTACGATTTCGATCTGTTTCGGTGATCCTGAAACGTTATCGTTCGGTGTCGTCTTCGGAAGACTTTTTTCAGTCGGCAATAAGGGAAAACGATTAACGATGTCCGATCGACGCTTCGTCTTCGGAACTATAGTCTCTGCAGCCTCCGATACTTCTTGTGTTTCCAATATGGCGGCGACTATGTTCCCCTTCAGTCGCCCCCGGACGGTCTCTGCCTTGTGCTTTTTTTTATGTATTTTATAGTAATCTCAGCTTAAGATCGAGAGTGAGAAACGACTCAATCGATGGTAGTGAAACGAGATAAAAGAAAGGAGAGAAAGAGAGGAGAGAATCGTGGTGCAAAGGAGAGAAAGGGAGAGAGAGAGAGAGAGGTTTATGCGCAGCTGACAAAACGGTTTGTAAATTGCGTAGATGAAAAAAAAATAGATAAATACCGTCGGCTGAAAAAAAACACTGGAGGCGGTTTCACTATGTCGTACACCTTACGTTTTTTGTTTGTTTTGCGCCTTAGGCTTGCATTATTATTAATCTGATTATTATTATTACTATTATTATTATTATTATTATTATTATTAATTATTATCACCATCATCGTCATTATCATTATATTCTTATTATTATTCTTATTAATTTTATTATTAATTTTATTATTATTATTATTATTACTATTATTGTGTATATGGTATAAATTGTAAAAAGGAACGTATTTACTATAACATATTCAGTTTACGGGGGATTCATCGAGATCCTTCGAATGAACAAATTGTTTAAACTAAAGTGAAGGAATAAATAAAATATTGACCAATTACAAGACAGTCTTCAATCAACCCCCGCGAGTCCCGTTCACGCATAACACGGCTGCTATTCTTTTATGTAAATCGTGTATTTTTAAATAAAAACGACAGAGATTCTCTACTGTACATAAGTAGCTCCAAGTGAAATAAAAAAAATATTACTCAACTACGCGTTGTTGCTGTCATTCCATCGATCCACCATCGTCATACGTCGTCGCTGAACTGCGGATTTCTATGCGTAATTATAAGTTGTCTAAATTAATTGCGAGAATCGTGAGTTCGATACAAATATCCTTTTTCGTTTCATCATTTTAATAAATAGCGTTTACACGCTATTTATTTTATAATAAAAGCATTCTTCAATTTATTTAATATCTTCACGGTTTTGTATACGATCTAGTCATTTCTCTCAAAATATAACAAAAGCCATTGTCTTTTAACACAGGGATCATTGTACCCATCATTGTAACCATCACAAAAATTCGGAACAAATCCGATCGAACAAAAATTGAAAATTTCTGATATCAATTACAAATGTTACAATTATTTAATATCGAAGCTGCACTGTGAATTTCGCGCATTTATACCAAAAAGTGACTAAATAAAATACAGAAACGGTAAAAATACATACAGAATGACTTTAGAAGCAACAATGTATTATTTTTAGTTTATTAAAATTATAAAGAGAAGAAATACATTTTCACCAAATTCCTATGTCTCGCAATTGACCACGAAATAATTTTACTTTGCAAAAATGCGTCTCGCATCTCGCGCGCACGTACAATATTTATACACCCCAAGCACTATTCCTAACATTATTAAATAAATTCAGCATCATCCTATAACCCCAAAAATTACTTTCCAAGTCCAAGACAAACGAATCGCGTCGCGCAGAAACGTCCAACACGATAATTCAGCACATTCAAGCAACAAATCACCTCGACAAAATTCCATTAACTTGATCACGCCAGCATGCCCGACCCATTGTTCCACCCGCCGGCTCTCCCCTTCCGGCTCCGCACCCCTATCTCAACGAGGAACGCCAACAGAGCGGCTCCAAGCCCCAGGAACAACATATAAAACGCGAACGCTAGATCCTCCAGTTTCATCACTTCGTAGCTCTTCTTCCCAGCGTCCACCTTCGTCATCCACTTCCTCACGTAATTAGCCATGGTGTTCCTCCAGGCGAGATCGATCAGTCCCCCCTCCGACAGATGCAACAACATCGAGCTGACTCTATCGTTAAGCGGCCAGTCGGGTCGAACGACGAAAGCGGAGGACAAGGTTTGTATTCTGTGCTGCGACAGGTGAAGATTCTTCTTGAACGCAACCCTCAGCAGCGTCGACCTGTCGGCCACGCAGGCAACGTTCCTCAGGGTGATCACCTGCTCGCTGCAGTCCCAATGGTCCACCGTCTTCACCCTGGAGAAGAGGATGTCGTCGAATAGCGCGTTCTTGTAGCCGCGATACGCGTAGATCGCGAATCTCGACTCTATCAAGGTGTCCGTGTCGTCAACGGACAGCGACGGGCTAGGAGAGGTCAGCAGGGAGGACAGGTTGCTCTGGAAGGTCGAGGAGGTCAGCACGAACAGTACGAAGACCGTGAGCAAGTAGATCCTGTAAGCGCTTCGCCTCGGGAACCTCAGCATCGAGAAGGTCAGCATCATCCGCAGCACTTCCAGACTCGCTTCTGTTATCCCTCGGCCCAGGAAGACTCGCAGAAGGATCACGGTGGCCAGGCATACTAGGATCACTGCCAGCATGAACACCGGGTTCATGAACTTCAGGATCTTCTCGTAGGCCGTCTCGTTTTCCGGCTGCCTCGTTAACACGCTTATGCCCGAGTTTAGGTGGGGGTAGGTGGTGATCGCGTCCGGCTTGTTGAAGATGTACTGATTGTTCAAGAATATGTCGTGGCCCCGCTTCGACAGCAGACGCTGGTAATCCTCGTAGTGGGTGACGTTCCTGATCGCAGTTATCCGCAGTGTCGCGTTCAGTTTGCGCCAAAGCATTTTCGCGATCGTGCCGTCCAGGCCGTCCAGCTTCGCGAGACCCTTCTCCGAGGGATAGATGTACATGTTCGGGGGACTGTCTCTTGCTAGTGCTCTTATCGTGTGACCACCCAGTGTCCCGGTTTTCCGGAAGTTCAGGTCGCCGCAGGTTGTTCGACCTGGAAATGCACAATTTCGATAGCTCGTGGTTCTTCGAATTTCAAGCGTTTCGTTTATACATATTCGGTGGGCTTGGTATTTTGTAATTGTTTAATCATTTATGTGCACTGTTCTTCGAAAATTAGGATTTGCAGTCGTGATGGTACTTCTTCCTTTTTTAGAAAATCAGAGAATATTCACGTTGAATGCATCATGGTCGAAATGACCGGTTTTTAAAATTTGATGGTACTACAAACTTTAGAGACTTCTTCGTGGGAAATGATTGAATAAATTGCATTAGGAGAGCAGGTTTTGTAATTGAAACTTTACAAAATCTAAACGAATTTCACCGTTTCGCTTTTACGAGTAGACCGCGGATTTTATTTACGGCGAAAATGATTTAACACTAGATTTACGGAAGCCGTCAAAATGGCGGGTCACCAATTTTTGAATTTACAATTATTCGTATTGTAAAGATACATTTATGAGTTATTTGTTACAATTTACATGTTACTTACTTGGCAAATGTTACAATAACACTTGTTAAAAATCAGAATAAATGTCTTATTGTTACTTTTATAAACTGATATGAAACAGCTGCTTTTTTATGCTGCGTAAATCTAGTGTTAAGGACGTTGTTACGTCATTGTCAATTTCATAGGATCATTAAAACAAGAAACACGCTTTTCCCTAATTCACGTTCCACAAAATTAACTTGGACAGTTTTTATCTTGCATAAAAATCCGCAGTCTACTTTAGTATTAAAATGACAATATTTAACGAAGTTCAATCGGAATTGGAATATCGAATAAATTGCTGCGAACCGAGGTTGAAAGTCTGTGACAGAAGAGTCCAATGACCCCCATGACGATGTTCCTCGTTTTCGTCAACTCGTTGCCACGGTCTCGGCGCCCAAGAAGCGAAGGGGTTGAACGTATACACATCGTAATTGTTACTTTCGCCGTTGACGCAGGCAAACGTTGACGACAGCAGATCTTCCTCCCACATGGTCTTAAGAAATCGGTAAGCATTCCGACAGCTGGCTTTGCTTTCCTTATCGTCGACAATTATGTAAAGAGCGGAAGGATTCCACAAACTCGTGTCTCGTAACGTTTGGACGCTTCTTCTTAAACGGTACGAGGACGGCACAGTGATTAAAAACGTGTTCAGATTGTGATCGAAAGTTCCTCTTGGAAATTGTCTCGCTTTCTCTACGTCGTCGAGGATCATCAGCGAGACTGATTTCAGGGACTGTTTGGTCCATTTGATGGCTGTCTGCGGACTCGTTAAGACACCGATTGCATTTTGCTTCAACGTCTTACAGTCGCCTAACACTGACGTCTATGAACAAAAGGTACGCTCATTTTCGTGATTATTAACTGTTTTTTTTACGACAATTCAGTAGACTTTACCAATCCTTCCGTCAGCTCTTCGAATCGATCCAGCTCGATCCGCAACGTCGATTGAGTTACCAGAACATGAGCACACATTATCGAAGTCAGAAATATGTTTCTGATATTCATTGTTACAGAGCTTCGCGACGTTTCCGTGTTCACTTTTTCAAGAACACTGGCAGAGCTTGGCTTTGCTCACTAAAAAGTAGGGTTTATTTGTATTTGCACGCGGCGATATTTATCCAGCAATTTTCTACAATTTTCCACTAGCTATGGTTATATTTCTTTCGCTGATTATAGACTTCCGAATCCCGCAGGGTTTCCTGCATTCTTCAGCAACAAAGTCGAAACTGTTTCGTAGAATCTGAGATAGTTTCTATCGATTTTATAAATTGTTCGGAGACAATGACTCTTTAGGATCTTCTGCTTTTATCTTTTTATTTTTATGCTTTCCATTTTTCTCTTTACAGGGAAAACTATTTCGAAAAGTTATGAAGAGACTTTCCATCTTTTAAATGTTTTCTAAATACCTGATCAACTTCGAGGCCCATTTTCAACCCTTTAACGCTTTTGAAACGCCAACAACCTCGAACTTTTCACTCAGTTAAAGCATTTTCTTTCTAAGCAAAATTAAAATTAAAAAGTTAATTTGCATGGCATTAAAATTATTTTTGAAATTTATTTCTGCAGTGCAAATAGTTTATACATTTTCTTATTTCTTATATAATATTTGAAAGCAGGTTAGTTATAATTTCTATTAATTATTAGAATTAAAATTAATTAAATGCAATGTTTGTTAAAATTAAGTCTAGTCAAGTTTGTGCAAAAATGTACTAAATCAGCACTTCTGGCGGCGCTGCGAATGTTTGGTAAGAGCACGACGACCGAGTCTTATTCGTATCGAGTTCCAGCACTGTCTGCAGCTCCGATATCGACCGATAACGATCTCGGCAACGAAAACTGCAGCGGCGATAGAGTACCCAATCGCGAGTATGGAGAAGCTGAACGTGATGTGCTTCAGCTTCAACGTCCTGAACTGCCTCTTATCGTTCAACCGCTTCCGTTTCCACTTGAGGAACAATTTCCTCGTGTTCATCTTCCTCCACATCTTGACCAGGCCTGCCTCGACGGTTCCTCGTATCAGATCCGACACGCGGTTGAACAACGGCCAATTCTCCCTGGTTGCGTACACCTGCACGTAGTGTTCGATATTCAAGCCATTAAGTCCATTCGAGTCTTCGATTAGCCTGGATGGCTTGAATTTACAGGGAATCCCAAAATTGTGTTACTTCCGGAAAGTAAGGGGTTCTTCAGGTCATTTGAAGCAACTTTTTCCTTTGCGCAAATGCAATCCGCGGCTTCGTTTACGAGTTATTAACGAACAACACTGACCAATGAGAGACGAGCAGGGCTGGCGCGAGGCCACCGAGCCAACGGGCGGTCGGAGTCCAGTTCCACTAGTTAGGTGGGCGGCCTCGCGCGAGTCGAGTTTGCCTCTTATTGGTCGGCGTTTTTCGTTAATAACTCGTAAACGAAGCCTCGTATTGCATTTGCGCAAAGGAAAAAGTTGCTTCAAATGACTTGAGGAATCTCTCATTTCACGATTGCGAGCGACTTTTGGGTCACCTTGTGTAGCTTGAATATTGTTGGCTTTAATATCCGACACTACCTGCACGTTCTGCTGTATCCTCCTGGATGGATGCAAATTCTCCTCCATGCTTCTCAGGTACACGTGATGACAGTCGTCCAGGCAGGCGCTCTTCCTCGATCGGAGGACATGCTGCTTGCATTCCTGGTCATAGTCGACACCGTGGAAACGAGATCGCAGTACTGGATCGTATAAGTACTCGGTGAAATATTTCGATCCGTAGATCCTGTAGTTTGACGCCTGAATGAAATTAGAAACAGCGTTTTACAATTTAAAAGTACGTTTCTGGAGAAGCATACTTTTAAATATAATACTTTGCATGTAATGCCTGGCCTGGGCAAATTTTATTTGAAATGAAAATAAGTTAGTTAAAATAATATTTCAAGAAGTGACAATAATAAACTCTAATATTTCTTTCAACTCTGTGAAAATTTAAAAATAGCGCCATTTCTGGCGCTCGCTCAGCGCCAATTAATGTGGTGGAAAAACGCTCAAACTACTGTTTTATAAAATCAACTGTCGGTAATTTAGCTGGTAGTTTGAGCATTTTGCTGCTACACTAATTGGCGCCGTAAAAGAGCGCTAGATTTAAAATGTGCCCAGGATGGACCGACTCAGGGCTCGGAATTAACCTTGCTGTTTGTTTTATATGTGTGTGTGTAGCATTTAGGCGATCATCTGGGAGCGAAATGCACAACGGGACTCAGGAGGCGTAGCCTTCGCGATCTTCGTGTTACTTGCTGGTTAATTCCGAGCCCTGATCTAGCTAATGATTTGAAAATATGCGATAATTTGGGAACTTTTTCCAGAAAAATTAATGAACAATTTTTAAGAACGATTGTCTCATTCAATAATACATTTATTTTACTACTTATAGTAACACTTTTTGAAAGCAGAATATTTCAATTTAGTTCTCCTAGCAGAATCTTATTTCAAATTTCTGATTACTCAGGTATTTTCCAATATTTATATAAATATATTATATATATTATAAATATATTAATAAATAAAAATAATAATAATAATAAAATAAATATATTATATATTATAAATATATTAATATATAAATATATATAAACGATGTTTATATAAATATTGCAAAATATCTGAGTAATCAGAAATTTGAAATATAAATAAAAAAAATTATAATTTAATATAAATAAATATATATATATATATATATATATATATATATATATTNATTCGGTCTTTTTTCTTTTTTTGTTGCGAACCGATTCCTCGATGCTGCTCGCAGCGTTCCATTCATTGAAAAACATGGAGTTCGATGATTAATCATGTTAAAACAATTACGTCAGAGCATGAATACTGTTTTGGCATCTGTGTGTGTGTCGTCCGGATTCGTTGTGAAAAAGAAAGAAAGAAGGGAGGCGAGCGACGACACGTGTTCAGAAATGGAACGAACCGAGAGATTTGCATTTACGTGATTAAGTGCAAAGAGTGAAGAATAGCGAGCCCGATGAGCCTGGGAAACAGCACAAGGCGATCCGATGCGATAAATTTCGAGAACGATTCACAAATCCCGCTGAAAGATTGCTGCTCTGCGACTACGTTTCGTTGTTCCAGTATATTATTATTTATCTATTTGTCGAGAATCATCTACGGCTGCGTGCGACATTCTTCAAGTTTCCATCAGCGTGGCAGATTTTCACTGGATAGTAGATAATACATAATAAACAACAGATAGTAAATAATACATAAATATTATACATTATATTATTATATTATATATTATATTATTTAAAATACTGTATATATAATATATAAATAATAAATATAAAAATATTTTAAACATCGTATTATTCTTCTAAATACTTCCACCGATTTCTTCAGAAAAAAAGTTCCCGAAGATCGCGTTCATCCTGGACCATTAACCGCGCACGATTCAGAGATCGTTCGAAGATTTCTCCGACCTTGAGGTCCTCCGCGGTTCTGATGTTGGGCCGGGAGACAGGCACGGTGACCAACGAAGCCCAATGGCTCTGCAGCAAGGCGTTAATGATAAGAATCAGCAGGAACAGATTGCTGAAGAAGATCCTGTAAGCGAAGCACTGCGGCATTCGGCGTATGGACACGTAAGTCACTAGACGGATTATGTTCAAACCGGCTGATTGAACGCCTTGGTATTTAGCGAGTGCCAATAGCGCGATTAGAAAGACAACGAAGTTTGCTGCTATCACTGGCGGAGACATGAATGACAGGATCTTGATGTACTCGGCAATTTCGCCCGATCGCTGCGTGATCACGCAGAGACCGTCCTCTCCATGGGGGTAGGTGTGCCTGAACGCAGTTAATTATCTAAGTAATGTACATTTCCCAATCTCCATGTGCTACGTTCAATTTATTAATTTTTGCTAACATTTTTATTTCGTTTAATTTGTATTTAATTTTTATCTAATTTGTAATACGTATTTAGTGGAATCCAGAGATTTAATTGATGCCGTTGCGTAAGATAAAATCTTGACTTCAATATGAAAAAGGTGAAATTAGTTGTTATTACGTGCTGTTGGACTAATTAGTGTGATTTTTACGAGTTGTGTAACAGCATTGGATCTAAGGTTTGTCGACTAATCAGCTTTCATAATTCATATTTGTATTGTATTGTATTATATTTGTATTATATTATATTCATCTACGTTGTATATTGGTTATTAATTGGTTTTGAAACTTGGATATTTAATATCTGTATTTCGCAGTTACATTTTTATTCATAAATCTTGTTAAGAAATGAATTTGATTACTTATTCTGTGTTCATATGACCACGAGCCTCATTGTAAAAATAGAAAAATTTATCATAAACGATAATTGTATAACAATAGTGATAATAATAATGATTTCAATTCGGAAATATTATCGATTATTTTTTAGTGCTTTCTGGTGCATAATGAGGCACAGAAAAATCGTCTTTGAAAGAGATGTTCAATTTTTTTCGATAAAACAGTGCAAGTTAATTATCTGTGCTCGAATCTATGCAGAGCAGCTCATACCAAATTTTCCATGTCGCGTGCAAGCTTCTCACGTTCATGCCCATGTCAACCACGCCGTTGGCAACGTCCGCCAGCATTCCCACCATGTTCCCATGAGACCCGACACCGCCGAGTTCGTAAGCGGTGCCATTATGCAGGTCCACGTTCAAGGTCGCGTTCAGCTTGTCGAACACTATCTTCACTATCTCGCTGTTGTCGCCGGTGAATCTGTCCAGGCCTGGTTTATCAGGATCTACGATTAGGTGGGGCTTAAACTCGATCGCGTTCACCCTGACCTCGTACCCGTTTAGGTCGGCCGTTTTGTCGAACCACAGACCTTCGCACATCTTCGGACCTGGAATCAAGGCTGGTCAACGCTTCATCTACTAATTAGCGCCTATTAACCCTAAAACGCTTATAAGGTGCTAGAAGATTCGAGGTGTGCTTGAGAAAGTGCTCGAAAGAGTGCTGTAATTGTGCAATATTTGTAATTGCGCTTATTTCTGCAATACTGTTAAATTTAGGTAGTTATAAACATTTCGGTAGTTATCAGTGAAAAATAAGATACAAGAAGTTTGCGAGAAAATATTGTTAGATCGAAAATACATGCTTAAAATTCTCTGAATATTTTTCGACATAATTTATCAATTTATCAATTTACTTTTTACAGTTATCCTGATATTCTAAGAAAAATCTGAACGATCTATTTCTGTATAATAAACTCAAATCATTAGACGGTGCTGGAGACTACAGGTTCTGCTAGATTCGGTGTAAACAATACCATAAACTAAAAGATCTAAAATCGATGATTATTACCATCGCGGTATTTCTTCTTGAAAAGCATCCAAGGATGTCCACTGCGCCCGCTGAACAGCCCAGCATTTTCCCATCCGTCAGGAACCTTGCTGGAATAAGGATTGTAAGTATAAATGGCCAATCCGTCGAGTGGATCTGTGCACAAGAAGATCGTGGACACAAGATCGTATTCCCAGGCTGTCCAGAGGAATCGGTAAGCGTTCACGCAACCGCGCGCCTCCGTCCTTCTGTCTATCAGAATATGGTGTCCGTTCGAATTGGACCAGGTCGAGTCCTTTATTCTTTGCAGGAGCAACCTCAGCGATGGCTGCGTGGAGGCGACCACGAGGAACTGGTTCAGCTTCCAGAACAAATGCAGAAACGAGAACTGTTTGAACGCGGCGAACGAGTGTCTGCTCAGTGTGAACAGATCGAACGCCGAGAACCCCGATTCTGCGATCAGAGCGATCGGTAGATCCTCTAATTCTGGTCTGCGTAAAAATTCGCCGTACTCCCCGGCGAACAGAAGAGCGTCGTTTACATCGAACACTGTACAGGTGCGAAAAATCTTTATCTGAGAACAGAGAGAATCGTGGGAAATCGTAAAGCGTTGATGAAATTCGTTTTGCATCGACGAGGCACCGGATGGCATTCTACGATTGTTCTAACAACGCGCGTGGAATTATTATTTATCTCATCTGCGAACTGATAGATCGCTGATTTTTTACGATTATTTTCATAGATTATTTTGTGTGTGTGTGTGTGTGTGTCAAGATAGATATACTATTATTATTGAATTTATTATTTATACTATTATAATATACTATTATATTATTATTAGTATAATACAGTTATTATTATTATAATAATATAATACTATTATAATAATATAATAATATTATAATAATATAATACTATTATAATAATATAATACTATTATAATAATATAATAATATTATAATAATATAATAATAATATAATACTATTATAATAATATATTATATATTATAATAATAATAACTGTATTATATATACTAATAATAATATAATAGTATATTATAATAGTATAAATAATAAATTCAATAATAATATAATAGCTGTCTCTTATACACATCTAGATGTGTATAAGAGACAGGTATTATATATACTAATAATAATATAATAGCTGTCTCTTATACACATCTAGATGTGTATAAGAGACAGGTATTATATATACTAATAATAATATAATAGCTGTCTCTTATACACATCTAGATGTGTATAAGAGACAGGTATTATATATACTAATAATAATATAATAGCTGTCTCTTATACACATCTAGATGTGTATAAGAGACAGGTATTATATATACTAATAATAATATAATAGCTGTCTCTTATACACATCTAGATGTGTATAAGAGACAGGTATTATATATACTAATAATAATATAATAGCTGTCTCTTATACACATCTAGATGTGTATAAGAGACAGGTATTATATATACTAATAATAATATAATAGCTGTCTCTTATACACATCTAGATGTGTATAAGAGACAGGTATTATATATACTAATAATAATATAATAGCTGTCTCTTATACACATCTAGATGTGTATAAGAGACAGGTATTATATATACTAATAATAATATAATAGCTGTCTCTTATACACATCTAGATGTGTATAAGAGACAGGTATTATATATACTAATAATAATATAATAGCTGTCTCTTATACACATCTAGATGTGTATAAGAGACAGGTATTATATATACTAATAATAATATAATAGCTGTCTCTTATACACATCTAGATGTGTATAAGAGACAGGTATTATATATACTAATAATAATATAATAGCTGTCTCTTATACACATCTAGATGTGTATAAGAGACAGGTATTATATATACTAATAATAATATAATAGCTGTCTCTTATACACATCTAGATGTGTATAAGAGACAGGTATTATATATACTAATAATAATATAATAGCTGTCTCTTATACACATCTAGATGTGTATAAGAGACAGGTATTATATATACTAATAATAATATAATAGCTGTCTCTTATACACATCTAGATGTGTATAAGAGACAGGTATTATATATACTAATAATAATATAATAGTATATTATAATAGTATATTTATATTATTATATTTATTACATAGATGTTTATTTCTATTTTATTTTGAAGACTCTTTTTACTATCATTCTCTCTTTGCAATCAACTTTAAACATAGATTTCATTATTTGACATCATCTTTCTATTAAAATGTATAAAAATATGGTGTTGGCCAATAAGTCATTGCGTTTTTTTCTTCCAATAGATGACAATAAAGAAAAACGCAATGACTCGTTGGCTCAATGGTTGCCAATTGAACACAAAATTCCGCACAGAATAAATAAACCTCGTGAGAAGATAAAGACATCTTTGTCTGTGCAGACGAAGTATAGCAGTTCCATTAAACATAGTGAAAGCGAAAGTGTCACAGCTGAAGATTTACTGCGACTGGCGTACCGTTTTCGCGACCAAGTTGTCATAAGCGACCTCGGTGCTGATCGTCGCGTTAAGCATCAATGTAACGATCGGTGATACAATGCTGCACTCGCTTGCAGTCATGTTTTTCTCGTTTTCCTCGGTCGCACGTCTTTCAGCGAACTGGTTATGCTAATTCGCGGAATCAACGAAACCTGCCACGAATGCAAAGTGCCCGGCTAATTTCACTGTTCGCGATCGTCGTGAACTTGATGGAGCAAATTGAGTTGTCGGTTGCTCCGCGATGCGTGTCAAGTGATCACAATGAGAGGCTCGATTCGGACAGGTGAATCTGCAAAGGTTTAATACCTTTGGTTTCTTTTAGCATTTTGATTACCCTCTATATTGCGACAACGTGCTCGATTCCGAACGTTCATCATTTTAGACAAGATCTATTAACGATAAATCCGCCGAGCGTTAAAAGCGACTGGTCCGAGCTTATTTGGGACTATCGCCATTTTTCTCGTAACATCTGCTTGAATTAAGAAATTTATTCAGTATCATCTCCAACGAGATGGATATAATATAAAATATTACCAAAATATTATAAAATATAATATCATAAAACATTACAAAAATATTATAAAATATAATATCATAAAATATTACAAAAATATTATAAAATATAATATTATAAAAAAGTCTACAAATTTATAAAAAATACTTCATAAATCTAACAATATACAATAATAAAACATTGTACATTTATAATGAAAGTATACAAGTGGCAATTGTTCAATTTCTTCTCTACTCGTTAAAATGATTAAAAGAAGGACATTCTCTTAGAATTTCTGTTCGTCGTAAATTGCTTGCACAATTTTTATTTTGCATAAAGATCTACCGTCTAGTAATAAATCTTCTTCAGAACGAAACAAAATTCTATATGCTTGTTACCGATATCTACCCATTGAAGGTTGTATAAATATTCAATGCTTGCTGATAGAAAAATGACAAAGAAGTTCCACAATCATTAAATAAATACTAATGCTTAGAAATCAATTTTAAGGATCTTTCCAGGTTGCAGAAGTTGTGTTTCACAATGTCAACGTCACGGATGGTCTGTAAAATGGTCACTAGCACCCGCGCCGAGTGTCCATCCCTTTATACAAGTTGTCCATCGATATAGATAGGCATCTAAATGGACGCGTTTCGACTATTTCCATTCGTCATGAGCTAATGGATACGGTTTTCATGCGGCGTAACGTTCTTAGCACTTTTCGGGGGCGAAATGGATTGTTTCCGAGATAGGGTGACTGCGATAAAATGGCGCGCAGCGGTGCCTTAATCAGTTTTTCCTGAGTTTACTCTGAGCTTCCTCGAAGTTCCAATTCGTAAAACATTACCATTCTCTCTTCGCGAGCTACAAAATTCTTATAAAATGCCTAAATAACTGAAATGTGTTTTTACCATGTTATAAAAATTACATAGTTTGCATTTGTTATTCTAAAGGGAATAATAAATGTAATTTATTCTAGATTCTCTTCTCTTCGATTCGAAGATTTTCGCTTTGGAATGTTATAGTGCTATTTTGTAATATACTATATAATATACTATACTATAAACTATAATATATAATATATATACTATATATATATAAACTATAATATATTATAAACTATTTTGTAATATAGTGATATTTTGGATTTTGAAGCTTCGATATGTTCTCGCATCAAAATAAAAAACCAATTGTTTAAACACGAAAGTTGGAAAGTCGACTTCTCGCCGCGAATTACAGTAATTTCTCCCTAATTCGCGCTCAGACTGCGCACGGAAATGGACAATTTGGGAAGAGAAGATACGATCGTTCGAGCCTCGCTTTTTTACTCACCGATTGTCAACAACTATAAAAAACGAGAATGAAGGCTCGAACAATCGTGTCTCCTCTTCTCAAATTTGACGCGCGATCTGAGCGCGAATTAGGGAGAAGATTACCGTGCCGTTTCTCAGACCGCTATCGCCGGCGAGACGAGCCGCGGAGGTGTTCGCGGCGTGTCAGCGTTAATTGAATTCAAATTTCACGGAGTCAACGACCGAACTGTTGGGCGTCTCGTCGACGAAGCGAAGACGGGGCCGTCAAAGCGGGAGAGTCGCTCCCACCATGAAAGAAGAAGACAAGACCGTGACAGTTGTGCACCGGCCGCTGGCCCGCAGTGCTCGTCCCGTGCGAGCCGATTTCGTGACAGGATACTCGAAGCGTGACAGGATATTCCGCAGGATCTCGATGGGACGGTCGCTCGAGAACCGTTTCGAAAGCTCTGTCGAGTGTTGAGTGTACGGCGACCTTGGCAATCAATTCGAGGAAGTGGTCGCGAGCGAGCCTACGCTGGAGCTTCGAATCTTAGATGCACGAGGATAATAGCTGCGCGAGGACAGCGGTTCCGAAGACATTCCGTTGAGGTTTCGACATCCTGCAGGATGTTCGGAGGACGGGAAGCGGTTCAGTGGTGCTCGCTGATAATTTTGATAGCGAGCAATCGCGTTGCCGACGCCGCCGACCGGCCGCACATTGTTTTCATTTTGGCGGACGATCTGGTGAGACTGCGAACTCCGACACCGGAGTTCCGCAGAATTATGATAGTATTAACTCGAGGAATTCAAGGCACGACAAAGCAATTCAATTACGTTGCAATTCAATCACATTGTGAATCGCAGTTCGGACCTCCGTTCAATCGAGCAACAATGCGCTTCGCGATTCAGGTCTCCGTTCAATTAGATTAAAATGTAATTCGTGACTGCGGTTGCAAGCGCAATTACAAAATACATAGTATGTGCGATCGAATTACGTTAGTTACGAGTTACGTTGTAATTGAATTGAGATCGTGAATTAAAGAAAAATTATAAATTGATAGAAGAAGATAATGCGATGAAGAAATGCGCTCGTTTCTTCAAATTTCTGCGCTGCGATTTGAAGAACGATATTTCATTTTACATTGTATTTAAATTTTTTTTTTTTGTGATGTGTATTTGAATTATACTCGAGATTAGAGTAATTAGCAATTCAATGAACTAAAAGGTTTGCACTATGTAATTGTATTACAATGTAGTTGAATTACTGTGCCATTGAAATACAATGTAATTAAATTATGAAATTGAATTGCAATGTAATTGAATTGTTACAACTCCGGCTGACATGATCTACAGTCGTCGACGAATATGCACGTCTTTTTAACGGTATAACTTTTCTGAAACTAGTGCAAACAATTTGAGCTTCTTCTTAGGCGGCAAAAATTTGCAACGAGATCTGCTAAAGAAAAGAAATCTTTTTAAATCACGTTCTTTTAATTCTTTTATATGAGCATACGACGAAAATTGACACAATGCATTTCTTAAAATTCGTTCATGCGTTTCTGAAAATCTCATCAAAATCGATTGATGTTGCTAAGAGCTAATAATTAAAGATCACAAAAATCGCAGATTTTTACGACCTTTGCTTCGACGCTTGAACATTGACGACAGAAGAGTAGAAATTTGTCGACTCGAAGGTCGTCTGGTTATGTCGACTTCATACCGTGTCCTGACACATTGTTCACGCCGGGTTCTGAAGCGATTGTGCGTCATTTCAGCAGCAATTTCGACTCGAACGAACGTGTAGCAAATGAAAGTAGCAAATTCAAAAAATCCGCAGGGATGGAACGACGTCGGGTTTCACGGTTCCGGGCAGATACCAACGCCGAACATCGACGCTTTAGCTTATTCAGGCGTCATCCTAGACCGGTATTATGTCAGCCCGATCTGCACACCGTCGCGGAGCGCTATAATGACTGGGAAACATCCTATTCATACCGGAATGCAACATGGGGTATGTAAATGTCCTTAAAACCTGGGAAATTTAGGAGAGTATACGCCAATGGATGCTGTTGCGATTAATCGCTGCATATATTAGTCAAGCAATGCTGTCTTAGGAGATTTTATGAATTGGAAAATTCAATTTTATATTTAAAAATTCACTTTTATATTCTTAATACTGCAAGACTGACATTTTCTTAAGGGGTTCTCTAATTCGAAGTATCCAAAGATCATCCGTTTCCATATATCCGAAATTTGTATAATGTCGAATGTGACGATGAAATTATGGTCGTTGTGAGGAAATAAACGTATATGTCTATGCTAATGATCTTCAAGGATTGTAAAGTCAAGCAGAGTTGGGCAAAATTTTATTCGGACAACGAGGAAGAGATGAAGACTGACGAATAAATTTTTATTCCACGCTGTCGCATAAATATCCAATAGAAATTTATCCACGTAAAGATTCATCCGAATACGGATTTATTCGAACGATTAAGATTTATTCTTTCGATTAAGATTTCGTTTCAACAAAAATTCATTCGAATCAAATTTTGTACAAATAAAAATTCATTCGAACAAGAAGTTGGATCGAAAAAACTCATTCGAGGACAATTTTGAATTAAAATGAATTCATTCGAATAAATATTTCTTCGAACCAGTTCGAACGATGCCCAACTCCGCTGCAAAGATTGTCGAACAGACCTTCCTGAGAAGATAAACGAGAGTTTACTCAGGCGGTGTCTATACACATTTCTTCAATTTTTATACCGATAAGAACTTTTCCCATACCTATCCTCTATGAGTCATAACCTTCTCTTTGAACTAGGTTTTTCGCACCTAGTCTCCACTTTTTTATGCCTCATTCGTTTAATATCCACACTGAGTTAAAATGTCCCACATTTCTTTTTTCGAAAAAGCGATACTTTCATCAGAAAGATGCAATTAAGAATTAATTCAATACACTTGGAAGCGAGATATCGAGTTCCAATAAAGAAAACGATGTTCTAGAATGTTCAAATTATATTCACAAATTTTTGGGTCCCAATAGTATCGCTAATTTTCGAGTGACAGTTGTTCGAAATCTGAACTGGGACCGAACGCCCCAGCATGATATATACGTGACTCGCATAGGAAGTATGGCAGCGGAGGGTTGATCTAAAATGATAGTGATTGCTCTGAGAACGCGATATGAAATTAGAAGGTCCACCGACAGTGCCACTAGCGAACGCGAACACCGGCATCGTCGATTGCTCTTTTGTTATCGGCTTCTGTGGGCGACGTGGATCGCGTGGGGCGATTAACTGATCCTGATAGCTCGTGGCCTTTGTCTGGCCATTTACCGTACAAAAGTTTAATCGGTCGACCGATTTACACGGTCGTTAATTTCGTTTCTGCTCCATAGAGTACACAGATATTTTCTTCACTGTTTCGTGCCAGCGAATGATTGCGAATCGAATTCGATTACCACGATTCGATTTTAAGACATAAGTCGAAATTTTCGAAAATGTCGCTCACGCCGCTATAATATTAGGGGGACCGGAAAGTTATGTCGTTTGTTTACATTANTGATAGTGATTGCTCTGAGAACGCGATATGAAATTAGAAGGTCCACCGACAGTGCCACTAGCGAACGCGAACACCGGCATCGTCGATTGCTCTTTTGTTATCGGCTTCTGTGGGCGACGTGGATCGCGTGGGGCGATTAACTGATCCTGATAGCTCGTGGCCTTTGTCTGGCCATTTACCGTACAAAAGTTTAATCGGTCGACCGATTTACACGGTCGTTAATTTCGTTTCTGCTCCATAGAGTACACAGATATTTTCTTCACTGTTTCGTGCCAGCGAATGATTGCGAATCGAATTCGATTACCACGATTCGATTTTAAGACATAAGTCGAAATTTTCGAAAATGTCGCTCACGCCGCTATAATATTAGGGGGACCGGAAAGTTATGTCGTTTGTTTACATTAAATTCAAACAGGTAAATTTTTAACTAGTTTTTATTTTCAATCACACAATGATGTAATCACTCTCATTATCAACAACCTTAAATTAGTATGCAAAAAAAAAGGAACACTGACATGCGCAGAAACGACATTACTTTCCAGTCCCCCTAATACTAACTCATTGATTTTTAGTCGGATAGTTGACTTTTCCGATGATACCAGGTAGAGATAAAATAGTCATTTTTTATATCGTGTTGGAAGCATAAGCGTTCCTTTCATGCCACCCGTACTCTGTAATGCTAATTTCGCTAACGCGATTACGCCAATTTTGCTAACACAGGTCCTGAAGTGCGCCGAGCCTAGGGGACTTCCGCTTCGCGAGAAGCTACTTCCGCAGTACTTGAAGGGACTCGGTTACAGCACCCACATCGTCGGAAAATGGCACCTGGGCTTCTACACGAAGGAGTTCACCCCAACTTACAGAGGGTTCGACTCTCACCTTGGCTTTTGGAGCGGTCATCAGGACTACTACGACCACTCCGCGGTTGAAACTGTGAGCCAGCAATTTAATCCGACTGATCGAACCGATCTACAGATTGGAACTCGCGGATTTCTTGATCCGGAAGATCTCCGAAAATTGATATTGAAAATAACGAGGCTTTCAAGAATTTTCTTTACAAAAAATTAGTGCAATATTTTTTAAACCAAGTATTTAATTTAAAAGTACCGATATTGTTCAATTTATACTAATTTTCTTGCCGCATAATTCTAAAGGATAACTGAGTAGCAGTCTATCGAATGAGAGCACTTTGGTTGCTAATTTTGGAATCAAATTTTATTCGACGTTGCCGAATAAAAATTAATCATTAAATTATAACATAAACGTTATATTCTATTACTTTTTAATCAAATCGAATGCTTTCCAAATAGATTCTTATTCTGATCAATTGTTACCTAGATATAGTGTTTCTTCATAGTTTAATGATTACTCTTTTTTATTGCTGTTTCTGTGGTGATAAACGCAGCCTTACTGGGGCCTGGACATGAGACGAGGCATGGACCCAGCTTGGGATCTTCACGGGCATTACTCGACGGACGTGTTCACCACGGAAGCTGAACAACTAATCAACGCTCACAATACAAGCCGGCCCATGTTCCTCTATCTTGCACACGCTGCAGTGCACTCTGGGAATCCTTACAATCCTCTGCCAGCACCCGATCAAGATGTCGCCAAGTTCTATGAAATCACTAATTTCAGTCGAAGACGCTTTGCCGGTTAGCAAACTATAATTTTAGAGATTTATCGAGCAGCTTTAATATACTTCTATTTTATGTTAATATATTTTTTATTAATATTTATTAATATATTTCAATTAACTTGCTGTCTTGGGCAAAGAAATTAATGTATTTGCGTTGTCCGGCAGAAGACGATTTCTTTTTGCTGAACTAAGAAGGACACGGATTAAAACACGTGTACAGTCTTTAGTAGACATCCTCTTTATTAAACATAATCTTTATTAGAGATGATATTTATTAGACATGATTTTTCAGATATAAATAAGGGGGGGGGGCCAGCAGATTAAGATGGTCAAAATTGCCCTCAGAGGTTTTTTAATGAGCATTATCCTGTTCGATAGTTGACCAAGAAAAACTCATTTGTGTATGTATGTAACTTCTTTGTGAGGTCAACTGACCTAGTGACCTACTGATCTACTGACCTAGTGACCTAGTGACCTATTAACTCACAGGCAAGTTACAGGGTTGAAATTTTACACAGATAGATTTTTCTTGCTCAGCTATCGAACGATATAATGCTAATTAAAAAACCTCAAAGAGCAATTTTGATCATCTTAATCGGCTAGGTAACATAAAAATGATTTAGAAACGTGATACAGCAATTTTTAACAGCGGTTTAGAGTCGCCATTCGAACGCAAAGGTTGAAACATGATCTTTATTATACACGATCGCTATTAGACACGATCTCAATTAAACATGATCTCTGTCAAACACAATCTCTATCAGAAATTGGTAATTTTAGGTATGCTAACGAAGCTGGACGATTCGGTAGGCCGCGTGGTAGACGCGCTGCGCGCGAAGGGCATGCTCCAAGACACTATAATCGTGTTCTCCACGGACAACGGCGGTGCTCCCGCCGGTTTCAACCTGAACGCAGCCTCGAATTGGCCGCTCAGGGGTGGGAAAAACACCCTTTGGGAAGGTACCAAGCTCCGACAACGTTCGACGCGTCGATCAATCGTGACCCCGGCCGGAAGCGTTCCGCTAATTTCGTATCTCGGTTAGGTGGTGTGAGAGGAGTCGGCCTGGTATGGTCAGCCAGGTGGTTGAACCATCATGGGGTGATCAGCAGCTCGTACTTCCACGTCACCGATTGGCTACCGACATTGCTGTCCGCTGCCGGCGGCAATCCGTCGGATTTGCGAGACATCGACGGCTATAATATGTGGGAATCTCTTAAAAAGAATTCCAAGGGACCTAGAAAAGCTGTCTTGCACAACATCGATGACATCTACGGCAATGCTGGGATCACTGTTGGGAAGTGGAAGCTGGTGAAAGGTAGGCAACCGCGTTCTTGCGTCTAATTGATGGTTTTTGTTGGCTTTGGAATTCTTGTTAGAACGATCTGTCTTTTGTTGCGCCAATTTCTTCGTCTCATTTCGCCAATTTTATTTGCCTTATTACGTCAATTCGTCTTATGATGCATTTTTATAAACAATTGGAAGATCATTTGGTTAAAGGATTAAATCGTACGCCGAAGCTATTAGTCTTGTTGCTTTCTGGAATATTGCAAATTAGTGTGCCGGACATTAAGAACGCCTCGTTTAAAAGATTTTAATTTTCCCTATTTATCACGTTTTTTTGTTTTTGGTTTCGATATCTATCCTAAACCTCAAGGTGCATTTCCACCCCTTTAAAATGGCCGATTGCATACGCATGAACATCTTCCCGAGCACTATATTTTTTGAAAAATGGCGTTTACCTGTCGGAGATCTGTTCATCTTTTATCCCAAATAGTCGAAACGACTTCGATTGATCTTCGATGAAACAATATTCAAGCTGAAGATGGGAGAGATCTAGGATCATATTCGATCGCTGAAGACTTCAGCGGCATTTTTTCAGATTCTTTCTGCATCTCTGAAAATTTCGTCGAGATCGATTAACGTTGCTATGAGCCAACAACGATTAAAGATATATCAAAGATCGTAGTGTTTTTACGAGTTTCGTCTTGGTGAAACTTTTCTTTAATATTTAAATATTGACAAGAAGTTGAAGGATCATCTTCGATCGCTAAAGACTTCACAGGCATTTTTTCAGATTCTTTCTGCATCTCTGAAAATTTCGTCGAGATCGATTAACGTTGCTATGAGCCAACAACGATTAAAGATATATCAAAGATCGTAGTGTTTTTACGAGTTTCGTCTTGGTGAAACTTTTCTTTAATATTTAAATATTGACAAGAAGTTGAAGGATCATCTTCGATCGCTAAAGACTTCACAGGCATTTTTTCAGATTCTTTCTGCATCTCTGAAAATTTCGTCGAGATCGATTAACGTTGCTATGAGCCAACAACGATTAAAGATATATCAAAGATCGTAGTGTTTTTACGAGTTTCGTCTTGGTGAAACTTTTCTTTAATATTTAAATATTGACAAGAAGTTGAAGGATCATCTTCGATCGCTAAAGACTTCACAGGCATTTTTTCAGATTCTTTCTGCATCTCTGAAAATTTCGTCGAGATCGATTAACGTTGCTATGAGCCAACAACGATTAAAGATATATCAAAGATCGTAGTGTTTTTACGAGTTTCGTCTTGGTGAAACTTTTCTTTAATATTTAAATATTGACAAGAAGTTGAAGGATCATCTTCGATCGCTAAAGACTTCACAGGCATTTTCAGATTCTTTCTGCATCTCTGAAAATTTCGTCGAAATCGATTAACGTTGCTATGAGCCAATAACGATTAAAGATATATAAAAGATCGTAGTGTTTTTACGAGTTTCGTTTCGGTGAAACTTTTCTTTAATATTTAAATACTGGCAAGAAGTTGAAGACTTCGCAGGGTTCATCGCACTAACGAAGACTGCCAACAGGGACCACCTATGGTGGGCAGTGGGATGGGTGGTACGGTCCGTCAGGAAGAGACTTCGTTTACGACGTGGGAGGAGTGATAGGCAGCACAGCGGCGAGAGCAATAGCCAGCATTGGCTTCACCTTGAAAGCGGATAAGGTTCGCAGTCTTCAATTAAAGGTGAAGATCGATTGTTTCCCATCGAATGATACGACGTATCGTTGCAAGCCCCTCGAGGGTCCCTGTCTCTTCGACATTGAGGCGGATCCATGCGAGATAATTAATGTGGCTAGCAAGTAAGTGGGCATCGATCGAATTTATATGCTGCTCAAAAAAACGCATAGAAAAATTTTGGATATAAATTGGCCGGGTTTGACTGACGATAACTAAGCCAAAAATCATCGTAGAATGATGAGTTTGATCTTAAATTAAAACTTGAAATCTCTAATTTAAGATACTGTTTCTCGATTTTATGTTTGTCGCATCCTCGTCACTGTAACCCTTTAAACGTAAGGTCATGTTTGTCATATTGAAAATTGTCAAGTTTTAATGCAACAGTCACTTCGAAATGCTATAACTTTGTGAAAAAAAATCGCAACCCTGTTTCGTTTGCTCTAAATTAAAGAGGAAGGATTATATTTCATTCCGCGGTAAACGGCATGTCCGAGAAAAATTTTACACGCTCCGTGCATTTCGTTAAAATTCGCAATTTTTAAGATGGCTATTTCAAACATGGCTTCGCATTTAAAGGGTTAGAGTGATGAGGGTGCATCGAACTTAAAATCGAAAAACAGTATCTTAAAGTAGAGGTTTCGAGCTTTAATTTGAAATTAAGATCGTCATTCTACGATGATTTCTCGCTTAGTTATCGTCAGTCGGAATTGTCCAATTTTTATCGTCTGTGTTATAATTACGTTGAACAGTGTATTATTCAATTAAGAAAAGGAATGCAGGATCAACAAATTTTTTCTGAACGATGTTCCAGGAACCCTTCAATTATTAGTGCTATACAAACTGAGCTGGCAGCATTAAATGCGACTGCCGTAGAACCTGGGAACCTGCCATGGGACGACAAAGCGAATCCCGAGCTCTGGGACCACGTTTGGGTCAATTTTGGGGATTATTCGCAGATTTCCGAGACCACGTCTGTCGGAGCCATGTGAGACCACGTTTATGGACAATTCGCGACAGATCGTAATCAAATTGTACGACACACTAATAAATAAATTTCTGACATACACAAAGCCATAGAGAAATTTTATCCAAGACGAATAGTCGCAGGGGCGTAATCAAAATCATTACGATATAACAGTTGACACTAATGAGTCGATAATTTGACAGTAATTTGGCAGGAAGATCCTTTCGTACTAGGTGAAGGCAACAAGCAATCAACGTACAATTGTTATATATTTTTTATTCGACACCTAAAATTATCTTTTTATTTTACATCCCGGAGCATCTTTCACCGAACTTATTAATAATCTACAGACTTTGTATTTATGCTTCATTATAGATTCATTCTAGAACTTTTCATTCGGTGGTGTCATTCTTTTGAACGCTTTCGAAATACAGTAAATTCTCTCCAATTGTCCCTCAGCTTGTAAAAAAAGATGCAAAATTTGGAAAGAGGGGATAAATCGCTCGAATAATCGTGTCGCCCGTTCCCAAATCGTCCATTTTTGTTTACAAACTGAGGGACAATTGGAGAGAATTTACTGCATTTTCATAAGCTGTTAAGAATTAGGTACGCATTTCCAATCGTTTTTTTCGAGATCCAGGCAGGGGTGGACATCAGAAGATGCCATTCTACATGAGCTTCATGCACCTAAAACATAAGAAAAACATTTTTAAACGCATTGTACATTTTTAAACGTTCTCGCGGCGACTCGCGACGACTCGTGGCCTAGAACTTGCCTGCACTCAGACGGGACCCAGTAGTAGCCGCTGGAGCATTCCTCCGTCACCTTATTGCAACTGCACATGCACTTCTCATCGTCCCACATCATGTTCTCCTGTTTCTCGCATTTCCATCTGTCCGACTTATTCGCGTTGCATTCGCAACTACAATTATCTTCGTCGTACGTTTGGTCCTTGTTGCAGTGATGTTCCATCATGGTGCACAAGCATCTGGAATGAACGCATTCGTAAAGTCTCGATTACGTTTTCGTTGTTACGTTGTTATTAGAATGATCTGGTTCTAAACACCTCGATTCATGCTTCCGATTTTGTTATTAGCTATAGTAGAAACTCGATTATTTGGGCTAAGCAGAATGACGCAAAGGTTTAATGTTTATTTATGGGACAGTTGCTTAGTTAAAGCGCCGGATGGCGCCTTTACTTTTTTATTTTTTTTTATTTCTTGTATATGATGCCGATTTTGTATTGATTGAGCTGATTACAGGTAAAATGTATTTACGTAATAGATGAAGGGTATTAATCTGTCATAATACCTATTATGAGAAATTAATAATATTTTTATTTTTTTATTTCTTGTATATGAGGCCGATTTTGTATTGATTGAGCTGATTACAGGTAAAATGTATTTACGTAATAGATGAAGGGTATTAATCTGTCATAATACCTATTATGAGAAATTAATAATATTTTTATTTTTTTATTTCTTGTATATGAGGCCGATTTTGTATTGATTGAGCTGATTACAGGTAAAATGTATTTACGTGACAGATGAACGGTATTAATATGTCATAATAGGTATTATGACATATAAGAATTTCTCTCGCATGATTCGATTATACCGTCTTAATAAACATAATGCGACGCTTACTTGCACATCGTGTGTTCCTCGATGGTGATGTTGTAACAGTAGTCATCGCCAGACATACCGTGATTAACCGCCAAAATCGGGACCTCCCTGGTTTTCGTTTCCGTTGCTATGCAGGTAACTCTGGTATCGCAGAAACCGGTGCATACCTTCGTTTTTACGATGTCGGGATGATAGGAGAATCCCAGTTTTGGTTTCAGCTTCACGAAAGTATCCCGCGGCATGCAGTCTGTTTCGTGCCATTGGATGTCGTGGCACTTCTCGCGATCTATTACCCTTTCTACTCAACAAACCGTTCGATCATTTTCCTCGAATCACTATTATTTACATATTAATCCTATTAGGATGCAGGCTATTCGTATTTGCTCTTGTTTCTGACTGTGTAACCATTTAGCTGTTTTGCATGAAGTGCCTACATTTTATAGTATGATGAGTATACGAGTATCAAAAACAGGTAGTTGCTTAAGAAAATAATATACTATGATAATTTTTATTAAGTTATATATTTTATATTATTAACGAAATATGAAGAAAATCAGACATATGCAGTATAATTAGAATAACTAATTAAACTATCTAATAACTGAACTTTTCAAAGAGATTAGAACAGCTAATTGGTTAACAAATCAGACAATTCGAACGAACACTTTAATTCTTTGCATTTAATTCTTTCACTTTTAAGTTCTCTTAATTTAATTCTTGTGGCGAAGCATCGCTGACAAAAAGAAGGAAGAATTTTTCCTCCCTGTTTCGATATTCCAAAAATTCAATTGACTCAGTAATTACGATGGAATATGTTCTAATAGCAAAAATAAATTTCTAGCTAAATATTTGACCACTTGTACTATAACAACGAATTACATTCGTGACAAAGATTTTATTTACATTTCTTCTAAATAGAAATAAAATTTGATCCTCCTGCTATCAAAATCTAGGAATGAAAGTAATCGAAGACGTACAAAAAACAAAAACTGTCTCGTTCTATCAGGAAAATGATTAAGGTCAACGTAGAAGAAATCATAGTGCAAGGGGTTAAACTCTTACTAATCTTCACTAAATTCAAAGTGTGTTTCTAACTCTGTTCGTAGAATAATGATAAAGAACAATGGTAAAGAATAATGGTAAATCTCGCGTACCTTTGTAAGTTAGCTCAGTAGTCTCCGTTTTTGCTATCCTCAGTTTATTCTCAAACCGCCCCAATACTGAATATACAAGTAGTAAATGCACAATAAATAACTGTATTAATTTCATCGCACTAGACAGAGCCATACTGCTGCTGGATATGCACAACGGAAAACGATACCATACACTGTGGTAGCTATTTCCTGCTATGCCTTTTTATAACCGAACATTGTGGTTTCCAGAGTATCACGCGACCGTAATCCATTAACATTCTAGAGGTGACCAAATTTTGTAGAGCTCGTTTTGCAAAGTTACAAGACGACAAAATGGCGTGCGCCACCAATTGGAGGTTAAATAAGAATCGTGGGTAAAGTTTATTAGTTTATCGGTTTATAAACGGTTTTAAATCCTGTGTTATAATGAAATGTAGAGGTAAAATTACAGAGCAAAATACAGGAGGCTAGCAGTCGCATAACATGACTTCTAAGAGTAAGCAGTATAAAATGGCGTCTCAGTGAGGTTCGAGATGTTCATAAAAATTGGCCAACTTTGACCGACGACAACTAAATGAACAATCAACGCAGGACAATGATATTTTTTTTACATTAAAGCTTGAACCTTCTACTTTAAGATACTGTTTCTCGATTTGACGTTTGACGTATCCTCATCAGTGTAACCCTTTAAATACGAGCCCATGTTTGTCATATTGCCGTTTGCAGTAACACGAAGTTCGATCTTTCTCCCCTAATTAAAAAACAAAAAACGAAACCTGGCTGCGATTTCTTTCGCTCGTCAATCTTATATGTCAGTGTTCTGTAAAGAGGTGCTCCTTCGAAGTAACTAGTCGGCGCAGAACATGCAACATCAACAGTATCTGAAGGAAGGAAGTTCACCACGGAAAAACCGAAGAGTTGCAACGCGGTACTCAATGGAATGTTTCTAAATATTTTCTGGTCACTGGCGACATTCAATAATTGCGGAAATTACATTTAACGATGTTTATTTACATAACGATGTTTTTCAATGCCCCATCAATCGTTCATAATATTTGAAATGCCAATGCCGGCGATAGATGACAAACATGGAAGGTCTACTTCAAAGTGCTGTAACGTCGCGAAAAAAAATCGCAGCAGCGTTTAGTTTTTTTTAAATTAAAGGGGAAGGATCAAATTTGAGATAGCTGCAAACGGTATCCTCGACAAAAATTTTACAAAGTCCTTGCATTTCGTCAAACTTGGCAATTTTCAGTATAACGAACATGACCTCGTATTTAAAGGGTTAGAGCGATGAGGGTGCATCGAACTTAAAATCGAAAAACAGCATCTTAAAGTAGAGGTTCCAAGCTTTAATTTAAAAAGAAAGATCATCATCCTACGATGATTTTTCGCTTAGTTATCGTCAGTTAAAATTTGCCAATTTTTATCCAAAATTTTTCTATCCTATAATTTCTTTGGGCAGTGTATTTAAAACTTGAATAAAATATATGTGATTATTGTTGTGAAGTATGTCTGTAATAACGAAATGCAGTAATGGGCGTGTTCGTAGGTATTCGTAGATTAGGTGATTGCTAAGTATCGTACGTTAGGAAGGTAGTCTCTCAGTCCCCTCTCGATGCCACCCTCTGCGCCTGCAAGGTGCACCCTCCCACCGTGTCTAACAACACTGGAGATCTGTAAAAACCGTTTAAAAGTTTGAAAGCAAAAATAGAACGCCATGGGATTGTAAATAGTATCTTGTTTATTTCTTCGTCTATACATATCGTCGATTTCATTGGACCACAGTTTTCTGTCCAAGCGCGTACAAAGTGGGAAATCATATGGCAAATGGGGATCTCCATGGAAATGAAAAGAGAGCTGCCTCACCTTGGCTAGAACGTCAGGATAGGTCCTTCTCGATGATCAAGAATATCTGCAACCAGACAATCATCTTCACCACTCCCGAATCGTTAAGAAATCGTTAAGAAATCGTTAAAAGTCGATCAAAAATTCTCTAACAAAAACCGACTTTAAACTTCGAACAATTAAACGCATGTAACTAATTTCTTTCTGTACAGATTAATAGTTTATAGGAACAAAAATTTTTCAGTTTCTATACAAGTGCATGTTCCGGTTTACTCTATCACTTCAGCGATGCGAATATTTTATCACTTGCGGGAAACCTCATTTTTCCTACATAGAGATTCATTTCCTCATAGTCGTAGTGCCATAGTGCAAAAGTATCAATAGTTGCCAGGCTGCGTTTGCCTTTTAAATTTTTATTATTTCATGCGAAAGTTAAGCGTTTCGCCTCTCTACTTAAATGAGTATGCGACAGTCAATAATAATTTACAAGAAAGGCGTCAAAAATCTATTAAAACAGAAGGTGGAAATTTTGATCACTTAATGTAAATTTTATCGTTCAATTTTTGTGATTAACCTATTCACTGTCAACTACAGGATATCTCGTGGTAGACGCCCACCGCGACGCGTCCGTTCATTAGTAACAAACAGAAGGATTTATTAATTATTTTTTTATTCATCATTACTTTTCACTGATTATTATTTATTTAAAATCCAGAAATATTGGCGTTTAAAATAGATTTCTTCAAAACAGGTTTGGCAGTAATATGTTTGCTAAATTTTGGTAAAATATATAGAATATTAAATTGAAGTGTCCTCATTCCCAAAACAACTAAGTATACAGGGTGTCCCATAATGATAGTAACACCTGAAAAGGACTAATTCCTGAGGTTATTTGAAGTAACTTTTTCCTTAGCGAAAATGCAATCCGCGGCTTCGTTTACAAGTTATTAACGAAAAACAGTGACCAATGAGAGACGAGCTCGCCTAGCGCTACGTGACCGAGCCAATCAGCGAAACTGGGCTCCGCGCGCTCGTTCGCCGTTCGCCGCCTTGCGCCAGCCAAGCTCGCCTCTCATTGGTCACTGTTTTTCGTTAATAACTCGTAAACGAAGCTGCGGATTGCATTTTCGCTAAGGAAAAAGTTGCTTCAAATAACCTTGGGAACCTCTCATTTCCCGCTTATACAAAAATTTTGGGACACCCTGTAAATCCACGAATACAAAGACAGAATTTTCTCGGATCGTTTACCTTTGGCAATGCTCCACCAGGGCAGCGTGATGTAGGTGAGAAACGCGTTCAGGGGAACGGACTGGGCTCGCCTGGTCTCCTTCCAGAAGTGGAAGGTCTGGGTGAATCCCCTCATGGTCCAGAGGGGGTTGTAAGCTCCGTCGTCCAGCTCTGTCGACAGAGAAACACACACGCACCGATCACCATTGACAGCCATTGATCCCCCAGGGACACTCATTGTCGGTGTGTGTGCAGCTATGATCCTGGAAAATGACTTCGTTGGTATGTGAATCACGCATCGGACATCGAGGTGCAACGGAGATCGGATCGATTATTACAGGTTCGATCGTTGCCGGACGATCGGCGGCCGACCTTCCCAACGAATACTAGCACGGTCAAGAACGTGTTATACAACAATACAACATCTCAGCTACAGGTGCGCAGAACAGAGGTGTACAGAGGGGGATGCACTAAGCCTCGCTCGTTTTCTCCGATCACTCTGATCGATTTCCGTCGGATCGTGCGGAGAGATCGAACGCTACGGATGTGGGGGATGAATCGTTACCGGTCACCGACGCGAATTGACCTTGACACTCAGCTCTGTTGCAGGCATGAGCAGAAATGGCCGGCGGAGCGGCGTCGGCCACTCCCGGAGCGTTTAAACCACGCCCACTTGGGGCATCATAGAGAGAAAAGACGAGATAAATCGTCATTGACAAAGGGTTTATCCTGTCGATAAATAGTTATTATTATTATTGTCTTCTTTCAATGGATATCGAAGATCAAGGTCATAATAATTCAATCAAGGTAATGATAATCAAAGGTACCTAATAATTATAAAAAGGTGCATAATCGTAGACTCGAAGTAACTTTTACATTGTCACTGATATCTGAACGAAAACTTAACAAAGCGTCATATTTGCATATTTCTAGATTCTGTTATTCCTAATATACAAGGTGTTCTATAATTATGTTAATACCCGGAAAAGGGTGATTCCTGAGGTCATTTGAAGTAACTTTTTCCTTAGCGAAAATGCGACCCGCGGCTTTGTTCACGAGTTATTAACGAAAAACACTGACCAATGAGAGACGAGCTCGGCTGGAATTAGACGTCCGAGCCAATCAGTGGAACTGGGCTTCGACTGCTTACACATCAGCCGTGCTCGCTTCTCATTGGCCAGTGTTTTCCGTTAATAACTCGTAAACAAAGCCGCGGATCGCATTTTCGCTAAGGAAAAAGTTACTTCAAATGACCTCAGGAATCGCCCCTTTCAATAATAATTAAATTAATTCATTTAAAATTGATTCGATCGTTTCTTAAGGAAGGATCTTCACAGTTTCAACAATTTGAAAATGAAAAAATGTGAGACCCATCATATGACCGGCGATAGATAGGTTCAGAGGACACTCCGCGAGAACAATAAATGGTCTTCGCCGGTGTCGCGGAAAAATTGATACGGTCGCGTCGTCGACGTCGGAGATCGCGTTTTGAGATTCGCTCCTTGGAGCAGCTGATCCGCTCCGAGGGCCAACGGCTTGTCATGCCTGCTCCACGAGCTCCAGCCGCGTCGCGGTCGCGTCTCGCTGCTGATGACTATGTTTATACCGGAGGTGAAACTCGCGGAGTCGATTTAGCCCGATCGCAGCGTCGATTGCTCTCGTTACGAACCACCACCAGCGCGAGACACCGTCACAACATAATCAATAATTGATCAACCAAGCCAAAGAGAATTGCGTGTCCAGCGGACCGATCCCGATCTCAATCGCAACGGCGGTCGTACTTCCCCGTCGCCGTTCTAATTTCACCATCCTCATAAACACAGTCATTGGGTCGAGCCTGGGTCGTACAAACGGTGACACAGAGAAACCGTTTGGGCCGGCCTAACTATATTTACCACGGACCGAGTACAATGGACGGAATATATGACTGCTGCAGGTCCGGTGTCCGGCAGGCTGCTCGATAAACGATCGCTTTCGGTCTTCGAGACTGGCTTCGTTTCGGAGTCTGTACAGGACGTGTCTTCCTCTAGCTTGCGTTAATTTTCGGGCGCCGATTGAACCCTGTTTCTAAGCTGCGGTCGCCTAAGCTGTATATCCTAGTGAGTAGCAAGTTTTGTGGATTTATGTCGGTTCGTTGTTTTGGTTTTTGTGCAGCTGTTCGGCGACTCGACGCTGTCTCTCAGTGTTCAGAGTGTATCTGTGTCCTTCTACCAATACTCTCGGCTAAAGCTACTATAACGTCTCTATCTGTGACTAAAGTATTCGTATAAATGTATGGCAGAATTTGTTCAGAGATGGCCGCTATTACGGTCTTTCGGTGGGCAACGTTGGCTTTTCGTGTGCGGCCTCGTCGCATGGAATTTGTCTCTCGAATTACTCGTTCCACGTGCTAGCCCATCTCTGACTGCATCTTTCAAGCAAAGGGTCTACTTCTCGGGATCTCGTTCGCGGGTCATGCATCTAATTTAACGCTAGGTTCGGAAGAATGTACTAGAAACAGGGTCGAATGAGTAGGATCATCGTTTCGTTCGACTGGTTCGATTGTTCGCGATTTTGGTACCGTACGTTCACACGACGTCGAGGATCGAATTTTCGAAGTTGAAGCATGAAAGTGTAACGTAAGATTTCGTGGACCATCCGGCGTGCTGGCGATGTTCGGTAAAAATGAGCTTGCGGCCGGATGGTTGAAACGACAAAGATTTGCTCGGATGGGCATTTTTTGGTCGACTGGTTCCGTTGATTCAGATTTTGGTGTCATAGAAAGAGTTCGAGGAATTAGGGGAGCATCGAGATGATAATTTTCTAAGTCACGCACAGAAGCCTGAAGTGGCGTAGATTTGGACGACCTCGAATGCAAGCGATGCACGGTGGTCGAAGATTCTCGAAACGTGACGAAATTGCGATATTGCTGGCATTAGAAGCGAATGCGAAACAAGTGCTGTTTAAATAGAACATTTCTTTCGATGCTATTTCTATTTTCAAATGGATCGATATTATTTCTGTTTGCAAATGGATCGATATTATTTCCATTTTTTAAATCGATCGATATTATTTCTATATCCAAATCGATCGATATTATTTTTATTCTCAAATTGATCGATGTTAATTCTATTTTTAAATCGATCGATATTATTTCCATTTTCAAATTAATCGGTATTATTTCAAATAGATCGATGTTACTTCTATGTTCAAATAACACCGTTCAAGATAACAGTTTGAAATGAATTCTTTCAAATACAGTAGACTCCCGTATAAATCGGTTAATATATGAAACGCTATATCAATTAATCAACTATGACTACCGAAGCGGTCAAAATGCCTGACTCAAAATTCCTGATACCATAAAAATGTTTCTACAAGATATTTTGAGACAATTATTCAAGCATATACTATAATAAAAATCGTACGAAGATTAAATAAATCGAGTCCTGTCGTTATTATAAAACAATATGTCTGCATCAAGCAACAAAACAACGATGAAACAGAAGAAGCCGATATCCACGAAGAAAACAATGCGATGCTCAACTAAACCAGATTTTTCACTCTCTATTCGTTTCACTTATAAGTATCTTTACGCGAGCAAAGATATTTTATTATTCGGCGGGACGTGCGAGAAATCGTGTCATGCGAAAAGAATGGTCGCAAGATCTTCGGCTGGTTACAAAAATTCGCGCGATACGGGAGCCTACTGTAGTTCCTTCTCGTCTCGACTTGAAATGAAACCGGCCCAGGTCTGGACGGGACCCACTGTACAATATCCTCCCAGCATGTACAGAGTGCGAGTCCCGAATCTCGATGAGCGGTCGCCGAGGGAGCAGCCTGCGGCCAAGTTAGACGGTGAGGCGCTTTGTGATCGGTTATATGGGGGGTTGGTGGAGGTGGTGTCGAGCAGGGTGGAAGAAGACTTTACCCTGTGAGCCGGGGCGGCGCGGGAGCTCGCACCAATAGTAGATGGCTGTGCCGTCTGGCGTGACTCTGTGCGGTGGTAGAGGGTTGCCAGCGAAGCTTCCGGACAGGGCTCGTCTTCGCCTCCGCCTGGGCAGCGTGGCGCTCTGCCTGTGCGTGGTCAGGTTGCCCCGAGTGATACGTGAGTTCGCGTTTTTGTCTTTCAACTGGTCGTCGTTTTTGTTCCGGTTACGGCTGGTGTTGTAGTACTCTTCGTGGTCGGAGCCGGCCGACCTCAGCCTGCGACGGCTGTCCGGCCGGCGGGACCGGAACACCTCGTCGTCGCTGAGACGCCGTTGCTCCTCGTCGTTCTCGAGATTGTTGATCCGCTCGTTCGTGATCTGCCCGGTGCTGTACGGGCGCCGCTTCCGGTTATTGTCCTGCTCCTCCTCGTAACCCAACGGCAGTTCCTCCTTGCCGTGCACCATAATGGCGCCCGCGTCCAGCTTCTGCCTCACGTTGTCGTCCGTGAGGCACGCCGCCGCCGGCACCAGTATCTCGCTACCGACCTCGATATGGTTGTGCTGGTGGTTCTGGAGGCCTGCCACCAAACAACTCGGTTCGAATCTACGCCCCTGCCATCGCTATACCTCGTCTCTTCGTCTCTTTCGGCCCGCAGGCTCACCGACCTTTAGACCCTTACGGGGAACGCTGTTTAATCGACGACAATGTCGCAACGATCCTTTTATAAAGATCGAAAGTATGTGCTAGGAAGATCGGAAAAATGACAATTAAATGTACTACTAAGTCTGGTCTAACCTTGAGAGGTTAACAAAGAAGGAAAGGAGAGCGAGTGCAAGAGAACGACGAACCGTTTACACGAAATAATCTTGACATGAAATTAAATCGTAGAACGCGAGTCGATCATAAATTAATCAACGACAATAAATAATAATTAACAGAGGGATAATATAATAGATATAATCTAATTTATCTAACAGAGAGATATAATAGATAATATTCCATAAAAATCAACAAAAACTAAACTGAACTCTAAACAAAAGTTAGCACCCTTGTCTTTTCTTTTTCCTTCGTCGATCTCTCGAGATCGGACTAGGCTTTGGTAGCACTTTTAATTTACATTTTCGTTTAATTTACATTTAGCGTACACTTTCGATCCGCAACCAAAAATCGCTGCGATTTTGTCATCGGTTAAACAGCGATCCTTGTTAAGGGATCGTCTTTAGAATAACCGATTCGGTATCTCAGACTGCTCGAGGCTTTTTGCTTTTCATTCGACGATTATTTACTCGAGGATATCCCGTTCACGACCTTGACCTCGAGGAGAGTAGAAACGCTCCAAATAAAAATGAAGCTTGCAAGAAAAGCGTTTAAAGTTCCCTTTCCCCATACGAGACGACGCTAAACGCGGACGATCAAGGTCATTTTCAAGATCACGCTCGTAAATCGCAAACTTTCGCCCGACCGGATGCTGCAGGCGAGGGAACACCGAAGGCTCGGAGTGATGTCCGAGACCTCGATGATGTCTCGCCTGCAACTTCGGACAGGATGCGTCGATTCGAAGGTCGGTGATTCCGTGGTTTCAAGAGACAAAGAACGATCATCCCGACGACGACACACAGGCGCACGCTCACCGTGTGTTTCGTGATAGGCCTCCTTGCGATTGGGCGAGTTCTCGTTGCCGGCGCGTTCCCACGAGTTACGTTGCTTTTGCTTGGGACGTTGTTGTTGTTGCTTGCCGGGTAGATGCCTGCGATTTCCTGGTGAGCCCCCGCCGCCCCAGCTGCTATCCTGTGGGTCGGCTACAAAGGAAAGAGCCGGCATGGCACGGATGCCACTGATTAGAGACAAAGGCATTTTTACATCTTCTCGCGTTTCTGTCTGTTTCGATTTGTGTTTTTTTTTGTTTGTTCGTTCGATTTGTTTTTTTTATGTTCGTTATCTCTTTCTCTCGATCGTAACAACATCGCGATCATTCTTTATCTCGATCGCACAACAACGTCCACTCCGGTGTTCTTTTTTTTCCCTCGTATTTCGTATACTCGTGACGTCTAAATACGTATTCGATCATAGAACGCGTGTGGCGGTGTCGGTGGTGGCGCAAAACTGTATCCTTCTCTCTCTCTCTCTCGCTCTCTCCCTCTCTCTCTCCCTCTCTCTCTCTCTCTCTCTCTCTCTCTCTCTCGACTTTGTTCTCTCTGTATCCCCATCGGCGATACCAAACCGGTCCGAACGATCGGATATATTCGCGGGCGAGCATCGATTCCTTGACGAGAGCATTTTTCGATCGATAGCGAACTCTCTGGACTGTAAGAACTCGACGATCCGGGGATACGGATCTCGCATTGCCGTGGCGTAAACAAGGTAAATGCAGTTTCTTTTAGTTCATTATAACCTCGAGTCGGAAGCATGCAAGTTATTATTATATATAGTATTTTTATTTATATATGGTCTTGTGTTCGGCCGATCTCGGGGACCTCGCGAGCACGATATCTCGTCCTCGGGCTCGTCTGAGGAACAAATAGTTCGGTATTATTTCTCCGATTCCGGTCTAGTTTGTACGTGGTACACGGCTACGCTCTATCGAAGAGAAAGAAATGTGCAGTAGACACAGATACGTAACACAACCGCATGCACGATCGATCCTGAAGGGCGCAGGCAGAGAAAATATAGGATGAGGACCAGTGAGTGTACCTGATGAGACGGTAGCAACTGCCAAGAAATTTTTTCCGGATCGTATACAGAGATTATGGATCCTAACGAGACTCTGCGTTACCGTGGTATTCGGCTTTTTAAATAGGAAAACGAATTCTCTTTCTGTTCGTTAGGTATTTGGTATTTAACATTTTTCTTTTTCGGAAATATTTAAATTTGTAAGTATTGTTAGAGCGAGCATTTTTATGGATTCGTTTCAGATGTGTGCAACAAGAATGCAAAGGGTACGAATAGACTACAAATCGCATATTGTTTTTATTTGAAAGTGAATGTTGTCTAATTTTCTAGATATAGATTGATTTTTAATATTTTCTTTCAAAGAAACGTTCGATGAAATTTAATGAAATCAAATCAAATATTGTTTCCACTTGAACGTAAATGCTCCCTAATTTTCTAGATGTACTATGATTTTTTACACTTTCTTCGAAAGAACAGTTCAATTGAATTTAACGTGGTAACATAATACGGTGTCGCAAAGAAAAACACATTGTTATTAGTTCAGAAAGATNTCTCTCTCTCTCTCGCTCTCTCCCTCTCTCTCTCCCTCTCTCTCTCTCTCTCTCTCTCTCTCTCTCTCGACTTTGTTCTCTCTGTATCCCCATCGGCGATACCAAACCGGTCCGAACGATCGGATATATTCGCGGGCGAGCATCGATTCCTTGACGAGAGCATTTTTCGATCGATAGCGAACTCTCTGGACTGTAAGAACTCGACGATCCGGGGATACGGATCTCGCATTGCCGTGGCGTAAACAAGGTAAATGCAGTTTCTTTTAGTTCATTATAACCTCGAGTCGGAAGCATGCAAGTTATTATTATATATAGTATTTTTATTTATATATGGTCTTGTGTTCGGCCGATCTCGGGGACCTCGCGAGCACGATATCTCGTCCTCGGGCTCGTCTGAGGAACAAATAGTTCGGTATTATTTCTCCGATTCCGGTCTAGTTTGTACGTGGTACACGGCTACGCTCTATCGAAGAGAAAGAAATGTGCAGTAGACACAGATACGTAACACAACCGCATGCACGATCGATCCTGAAGGGCGCAGGCAGAGAAAATATAGGATGAGGACCAGTGAGTGTACCTGATGAGACGGTAGCAACTGCCAAGAAATTTTTTCCGGATCGTATACAGAGATTATGGATCCTAACGAGACTCTGCGTTACCGTGGTATTCGGCTTTTTAAATAGGAAAACGAATTCTCTTTCTGTTCGTTAGGTATTTGGTATTTAACATTTTTCTTTTTCGGAAATATTTAAATTTGTAAGTATTGTTAGAGCGAGCATTTTTATGGATTCGTTTCAGATGTGTGCAACAAGAATGCAAAGGGTACGAATAGACTACAAATCGCATATTGTTTTTATTTGAAAGTGAATGTTGTCTAATTTTCTAGATATAGATTGATTTTTAATATTTTCTTTCAAAGAAACGTTCGATGAAATTTAATGAAATCAAATCAAATATTGTTTCCACTTGAACGTAAATGCTCCCTAATTTTCTAGATGTACTATGATTTTTTACACTTTCTTCGAAAGAACAGTTCAATTGAATTTAACGTGGTAACATAATACGGTGTCGCAAAGAAAAACACATTGTTATTAGTTCAGAAAGATTCATATGATGTCTGAGACCCTTTAAAGCTTAGCTACAATAAATCTGTATTTAGTTTTACTGTATGTTGTTGTCACAAGTAATATTTGTTTGAAGATGTTCAATTCTAGATGTTCACATGAACGAACAATAATAAGCTACAATAAATTCAATTGAATTTAACGTAACACCATAATATAAATCCCACGCAGATATTGTTGTTAGTAGACTACAAATTTTATGCATTCATAGCAAAATTGAGTAGTTGCAATTTAAAATACTAGAAAGATGAAATGAATTGAAAAATGTCAATGTACCATTTTTAATCTATTGAAATAATTAAAGAAAGAATGAACATACTATTTAGTTTCTATTTCAAGCAATTTATACAGACAGCTGTTATTTTGCATAAAAATCCGCAGTCTAGTTATTTATTCAGAAAGATTCACAGGTCGGTGACTTAATATACTTTTATCTACTTTTCATCTTTATCACAACCAGAAAGATTCGATTAAAGATGTTCACTTCTAGATGATCAAACAGTTCACAACGCAGCCTAGCTTCCCTTCCCAGACAATTGAATTTGATCAGTTCTTGCACATTGAATTTAATCGGGCAAACTACCTAATAATAAACCTATCTTCGTAACAGAAAGAGTCGTACCGTTATCCTTTCGAATAAAATGAATGTGACCTCTACGAGGACAATTTTCGAGGACTTTTCTGACTATTTTTTTCAGACAGTTGCTACCGCCTCCATCCTCTACAACGTGTAGAGTGTCTTAGCCCCCGTTCCTGTTTCAGCTGATCAAGGCTCCTCCCTCTGAGACGGGTGTACAGGTGCTCTAGTTACCGTCTCGAACATCCCCAGCTTCAATCTCGCTCAAGCCATTCGCCATCGAGTCCAGCCCCTCGTTCTCGGACCTAGCCTTGGTCGCGGCGGTGTCCGGTTTCGTCCTCCATCCGCCGCGAACGAAATTGTTCAGGTTTGCACTGGGATCCGATAGTCTTCGTTGATGTCGATACATGAACAGTTCTTCGGCATCGTCCCAATCAGCGTCCCAGAGCGAATCGGTGGCGCAGTAGCCTGGTTCCGAGGTGGGAGTCTCGGCGCCCGAGCCTTTCGGCTTTGTCACAGCCATCTCCGCGTGGCCTTTACCTAGAAGAACCATTGTTATCTTGATAGAGCCTGGATTTCGTATTCTTTTATGCTAAAAAATTATAGACTACAACGAGGAAATCTGAAGTAGATTGTAGTGGTTGCTAGATAGTTAATTAGGGATTATTGGAGTGTGGGGGAAGTATGGTGGAACTCGTAGATGATCAAATAGTGACAAATAAAAATTTAGATAATAAATAGAGACAAATTAGAAATTATGGGAAATATAGAGTAGCTCTCGGGTGAGACTAAATAAATGGAATTAGGTATTTCAGAAAAATATAGAGGAGCTGATGATTAATTAGAGACAATTACGATTTTTAATATAAAGTAACTTTCAGATGATCAAATAGAGACACGTCTAAAATTTTTGGAAATATCGTGTAGCTCTCAAATGATTAACTAGAGGCAATTAAAGTCTACAGGGTGTATAAAATAGCTAAATTAAAATTTTAAGGAAATGAAGACTAGATCATTGAATTAGAAATTATGGGAAATATAGAGTAGCTCTCTGATAATTAAATATGAACAATTAGAACATTAAAAAAAAACAAAGAGTAGCTGTTCAATAATTAAACAGAGCAAATTAGCTAAACCGATGAGCTAATGAAGCTGGGGAATTGTAGACATTACTGATTCAATGGCTCGTAGTTACATTGCTAAAAATGTCAGAGTGTACTTTGGGTGGCTTGAGGTTCGTCAAAGTTTAATGCATCTTTACTCCTAGGAGAACGATAGAGTTGCTCTAGTGTCGACACAAGTAACTACAATTTCTATGGAGTAATAAAAATGTCATAGTGTATTTCCAGTGGACAGCAACGAATAAAATCGTGAGTCTAAGAATTGTTACAGTGGAGCATAAATTTTGTACGCCGAGAAGCAGTAAGCCGAGAAGCCAGTGCACATTGTTACATATTTTCTCAATTACACAGTTGCTCAATGAAATATTCGGACATCTTCCAAAAACTTAAGAAAGAATCGAGCCTAATGTTTTGACCTTTTTTGACATGTTAGAGGAACTAGTTCATTACACAGTGAGGACAAAAAATTTTGCAAAAGTTGCAATTGCAACTTTATCAGTCAATGTGCGGCAAACTAGTTTCTCTAATATCTCAAAGGGAAATTCAAGTTATTATTATAATATTAAAAATTAATATTATTATAAATAAAATATTATATATAATATTATATATAATATAAAATATTTTTATAAATAATATTATTATAAAATATTAATATAACTTATAAGTTATATTAATTAATTTCGAATCAAGTTATTCCTTCTTAAATTGTGTCTGAATATTTGAACCGTGTCTACCGCGTGTGTTTCTAAGCAGGTAAGATCGAAGTAAAGTGGAAGAATCGTTAATCGTACCACGAGGTCCTTTCATCCGAACAAACTCTATTCTCTGCGAAGCTGCGCCGGAAAACAGGCCGAAGGTCATGCGCTGCGCCATCTTGGTACTCAAGCTGGACTGCAAAACGAAGCGACAGCGTTACGTTTTCGTTCACCAAAAACGCGTTTTCTTGTAAGCGAACGGAAGTGTCGGCGGATTAGAATAATCGGCAGACGTACCCTAGCATCGTAGACTTTCTTGAGCGCGTCGTATCTGATAGAACCGAGGAAAATCACACCCTGAATCGCGCCCTCTCTGTCGGAGGCAACCAGCTCCACGCATACCATCTCACCGTCCCTGACTAGAATATCACAGAAAACTTCGTCGAAATTGTCCACCATGAAGCAGATGTGCGGGTACGTCATCTCCTCGAGGTCCCCCTTCGCGTCCATGCGGCGACGACTCGGGCTGGCGTACACCTTCTGCGAGTGTCTTCGGAGGACCTGCCAACAATGTTCACTTTTTAGCAATCATGGAATTCGGATGATTAATTGAAACGTGAACAGTGGACCAGTTTGACAAAAATATCGCTGACTATGCTTATGATCATCTATAATCTTATTTATCGATTTTGTTCAGCATGTTTTTACACGTACTCTCTTTCCAGACACGTCGGTCTTAAAATAGACCTTAATGGAGCATGCGAACATTTAAGTTAATTTGTCAGAAACTAGATAGTTAAATTATAATATTTATAGTCGGGCATTATTCGAGTAACTATTTAGTAATTTATTCGCACATTTCGATTCAATTTTTCGAATGAAATTTTATTCGGCTAATGTTTCGAATAAAATTTTATTTGGCTAATGTTTCGAATAAAATTTTATTTCATTAAAGTTTCGAATACAATTTTATTTGGCTAATGTTTCGAACAAATTTTTTTTAGAATAATATATCGAATAATACCTCGAATAAATTCTACGAATAAAATTGTATTCGTTATTCGAATAAAACATGCCCAATTCTGATTTATAGTCTCGATCTAGACATTTCATAATTATTGGCAAAAGTGGTAATCTGAGTTATATCGGGTCTGTAGTGCCAAAGCGAGACTTAAAGCAGATCGACCGAAATATTACACGCGTGAACCTGAGAGCTCTTATTGGCTTCAATAGCTTCGCCGTTATTATTCAATTCCGTTGATCTTTCTGATGTTGGATGTGTCACCTACAGATTTTTCGCCACGAGCCACGAGCTAAATCCATCTAATAAAAGTCAAAGTCTAGACGAAGAAATAATTATAAACCTTCATTTTCTTCTAAGAAATTATTGCAACCGAAAATGTTCTTCGTTGCAATTGCAAATCAGAGAATCATTGTAAATCAACGCGGTTAATCAGAATTATGTAAATCAGAAAATCATTGCCAATTATTGTGATTGTAAATCAGAAAATCATTGTAAATCAAAAAATCACTGCAAATCAAAAAATTACTGCAAATCAAAAAATTACTGCAAATCAAAAAATCACTGCAAATCAAAAAATCACTGCAAATCAGAAAATCATTGTGAATTATCGTAATCGTAAATCAGGAGATCATTGTAAATTTATCACGACGGTGAAAAAAATTTGTGAAGAAAAGGGGTTGACCCAGGTCAGGCGATTCTCACCTGCAATTCCTTGGGGCTCGTTCTTGTGCAGATCGCCAGCGTGAGCGTGTAGTCGAACTGATGTACGACCAGGTTCAGGTACACGGTTTCCTCCCAATCGATGTCGGGATCGCCGATCGGCAGTTTCTTGCTGTCCTTGCGGAACACGTCCACCTCGGTCTCGAACTTCGGCAAGTACCTCGACGAGGTCTTCACATGCTTCTTCCGGACGAAGAAGAGCAGATCGTCGCCGTCGATCGTGTGCTCCGCTTGGAAAAGGAAATGCCGCACGAACAGGTCCGTCCAGTAGGTTGTACCCTGTAGTACCACGAACCCGGAGTCTGCAACAACGTTTCCACATCGTCATTAACCCCTTGTCATGCTTTGACGAGGCCGTCTCGTCATGAAAATTTCTAGTAATAACTTATTCAGCATACATGTTATTCTGTCTTTTTAAATTGAAACAAAATTCTGATCTCTTGTCATCAATATTTTTTAAGCATTCAAGCAAATTTTTAGGCCTGAGTTAGTACTGCATAAATATGGTTACTTATGGTTATTAATATAATTATGGTTATTAATCTTTTGTACTGATTTATTATTTTTTTGGAAATTTATTTTTTTATTTATCTTTTTGGAAATTTATCGATAGGCACCCGAGACGAATCCTCAGAAAATAATTGCAAGTGCAGCGCTACTTAAAATCGTCTTCAGGTTTCAAATAGACTGCATCGAGATCCTAATGAATCGTTTCGTACGATGAATGTTGAACCAATGTGGCATATGCGATGCAACAAGTTCATAAAGAACTTCATTATTTATCTTCTTTTTATATTTTTATTCTAAGCACAGGAAGTTAACGATCTCTGTTCAAACGATTCGATAAAAACGCTTCCTTCGTCATTCTTTCCATTCTTTTTAAAAAACAACGATATTAGACATTCCTTAGGGAGTATTCTAATTTTAATGAGCACCATATGGCGATCAACCCTTAAATGCCTCGACGCCCTTTCCCGTTTTAATAATGGCAAAGAGCAACCGGAGCATTGCAAGATGAACTATCGATTTCCTTCGGGGGAAACATCCAATTCAACAAGAGATAGCGATGCATCCGCGTACATACAGTCACCTCTCACTCTCTCCTTTCATCAAAAGCGAACGAGAAAATAGAGAGTCGCGTCACAGGTACGAAGGTCGCCGATAAAAATACGAATTCCCGTTTCGCTTCGGAAAGGATCGTCCGCGCGATTCCGAGAATTGTCGCCGCGTTCCAGCGGATATCATCTGTGTCCGAGAGCGAAACAAGATGCTTCTGGGAGAGGCTGGCGACGACCGAATCTCGGGTAGGGGCCGATAAATCGATAGCAATATTCGCGGACGACGGTCCTGCGACTTAATTGCTGCCTCTGCTAACGACGGACCCGCTCCGGCTTTGTAAAAAAAAAAGAAAAAAAGGATAGTTTCCGGACTATCGATCTTCCAGAGAACAATGGACGCGGGAGATTAATTGTTACGCCTGCCACGGCGGGCTTTGGCGACCGATGCCACCGAACTGTTCAGAAGTAACGCGGCAAACGGACTTTGCGGGCTTAATTGCAATTTTTCTCACTGGAACAGGGGAACTAATCTAATGTCAATTGCTTCTGCACGCCGAGTTCAATTCTCTACATATAAATGCAGTGATTTCTCCCGAATTCGCGCTCAGATTGCGCACAAAAACGGATTTGTTTGGGAAAAGAAGATGCGATTAATCGAGCCTTGCGACTCGTTTTTATAGTCGTTGACTATAGTAGGTAACTATAAAAACGAGCCACAAGGCTCCAATAATCGTATCTCCCTATTTTTGTCTGCAATCTGTGCGCGAGTTAGGGAGAAATGATTCTACAGTAATGTCTGCCTAATTGATGCATAGATTGATTGTGCACAAAAATGGACAATTTGGGAATAGAAGACACGATTATTCGAGCCTTGCAGCTCGTTTTTACAGTTGTCGACGATTTATAACTATCAAAATGAACCGCGAGGATCGAACAATCGTGCCTTATCTTCCCAAATTGTCTATTTTCGTGCGCTATCCGTGCGCGAATTAGGGAGAAATGATCGTACTCCGAACGGTGCGCCACAGAAGTGCCACGCGAAATCGGATGGATTAACTAGCGCGGCTGAAACTGCAGAAATCGATCGTGAAATGAAACGAGATTGAAATTAAATTGCACATATTAAATTAGTTGTAACTGTGTCAGATTCTACGGATCCTAATCAAATTCCGTTCGTGTAAACGCGTATCGGTAAGAATAACATTCTTTTCAGAACGTGAATAGAACTGTTATGTCACGGTGTATAATTGCGGCAAATTTTTTAACGAACCGGGAAAAAGAATTTTGCCGTGGAAAACGAAGGAGAGCAGGAAACATGTTCTGTACGAGTATAATAATGGTCACTCGGGGATATTAGTCATCGGCACGGAAACCTTGCTGCGTTTCAGTGTGACAGACAATTGCGGACACACGCGACGACACACGCTGCTGGTATTGAAGCGTGGCTCGCCTAATTGTGCGGCCGACACGAGGAGAGTTACGTCACGTTGCTTTTATAGAACGAACGTATTTACGGTGATTCGTCGTTGGATTTATCATCAACGCTGTTCGTTTGCATAGGTGCAATCACGGGAGCTCGGCCCGGCGAATCCGTGGTTAAAGAAGCCGCGCGATATAGGAACACACCTGTAGTGAGCATAAACAATGCGGGTCACGCGCCTTTCGCGGTCCGAGATGCCAAGTTTGTCACGCTGATTTTTTTTGGTTCCAAGTTTTATTTCGCAGCAGACGTTCCATTTTATCTAGCGGAACATCTGGTCATTATACCGGTCGTTATATTTTACAATGTTGCTATCTCGCTAAAAAAAATTGCACATTACGTCTGAAGCAGTTACTGGAAAACAGGAAAACAGTATCATCGAATCTGCGGCAGATTCAGTCGCGAAGAAAATTTTTTTATGCGTTTGGGGACATTGCGATCTGTATCATTCTTTTTAGAAAAAATA